AAACTTAAAATCTAAAAATGTTTGTACTTAAGATAATATGAAAAGAACAGCTGTGTGTCTGTGTTATTATTATCTGATCCTTTCTGAAGTTCTTCCTATGTACAGAAGTACATTGCTCACACCACACTAGTTTATGTTATATTTATATTTTATATTTATTGAATCTCCGTAAGAAATTAGACAATTATGTGGTGAAAGTCATTATCTACAACTTGTAGCTATGGTTTATCCACAATAAGTAGTTAATAATTATTTCTAAACTTTCTAAACTTGTTTGGCAGAAGAGGACATCATGGTATCCGTTTGTTTCCTGATAATGCATGCAAAAAATTAGGTTACATTTTAATGACCGTAAGTTTTTAATAAGTCACCTAGCCCAGATGAAGCTGGTCTAGGATAATTCACCTATACTTTGTTTATTCTCACATGGAAGCAAAGTATAGGTTGGAGATGCATGTACCTCAAATACTTTGCCATTCTAAGTCATCTCCCAGTGCTTCCCATTTCTAAGTACTGTGGCACATATCAGGGCATTGCATTTCCTATTTCTAAATGTTATGGAACATGGCCCTGTTACTGCTTCCTACTTCTAAACTTTATGCTATCATTTAGCTTTTAACTTTCTAATTTCTTAATGTGATTTATGTGAAAATTCTGCCTATCCTCTAAGGCAATTGTACGCAAGGAGTAACTAAAATCTGAAGAGTCCTACAGAGAATTTTCTAGCCATCAGGAGCATCTGCAGACCTCTGAATCTGCAGAATGATAGGTTCAGCCTTGCAATAGGTGTGCTGTTCTTTTTCTGTAGTGGAAAGGTCAGATAAGGTGGTTATCATCGCCCCACTTTTGGAGGCGTCATTAGAGTGTTAATTGGGGAGCAGGCTGCAAATGAGTTGGTAGTAAAAGCAAAGTTGGCTTGGCAATGGCAGTGGCTACAGCAGCAGTGGTGTGGCAATGGCAACAGTGGCAGTGGCAATGCATTAGAACACAACAGCAATAGAAGCTTGGAACAGAAGTGACAAAAAGAAGCAATGAATTGTGGCTGAGTTTGAAAAGTAGGGGTGGACTTGAGATCACTCAGGAAGGAGAGATCTTCCCCTATGAAGGCAGGCAGGTAGTCACCATGGGAGTCTTGAGGGGTTTGGTAGGTGATGAGACCAGGTGGTAAGACTTCTAAGCCAGCGTCTGTGTCCCTGGAAAATGGCTTGTTGGGGGTGGGCATAAGCACTGGGAATGCAGATAACTGGGAATTAGGGTGACCCAGAGGATCATAAGTAGTGTATGTGATAACTGATACAGTAGAATCACAATTGGTTGAGGGGTGGGCCTAGTAATGCCAATGCCTTGTGTGCAAGACCTTATTTACATCTTCAGTGAGGAAGAGTTTTAATATGCTATATCTGAGCTTGGGCAGCCCCTCAACTAAAAGACAATGGAGTGAGCATAACCTGTCCCATAGTGAGACTGAACATAGTGAGGGAGGTTCCAAGTAGTACTGATTCCATCTCCATAACAAGTTGGAGGTGTTGGAGACTAATAGATGATGTGGGAAAGGGCAATAAAGTGTATGACGTGAGATTTCTGATATGCTACATGTCATATAGATTCACCAGTTTTAAGGTGCATGTGGGTGTATTTTGGTTGGGGGAGGAATTTGATAGGAACTGATATCCATCTTGAGTGAGCAAAAAACCTGGAATATGGGGTGTAGGGAATGCACCTGCTGCATCTAAATGGCATCAACCTGAGAGAGAGAGAGAAAGAGAGAGGGGGGGAAGCTATTTCAGAAGGAAATGTGGTCTCCAATATGGTGGTGATTTTCTTGTCTAAATAAGTGAAGGTATTGGAAATCTGCCCAGCTGGATAGTAGGTTATGTATCAGCCAGGAGAAGGTGCTGTCATTAACAGATCATATGACCCTTTTTGTGTGACTGGGGTTACTATTTCCAAAGCAGCAGAGTGTGAGTGCCTATGTGTTAGGTATCAGGATCTCTCCCTGGACTTTTGGACCTATTTACTGAGTTGGTTGTAGAGACCCTTGTCTGCTGGTGCTAGAGGATTCAACCTCCATCAACACTGGGTCTTGTTGTATCCAGGAGTTCATAATCTCCACAGCAATCATGGGTTTGTCTCAGGTAATACATCAGGATCCAGGATTCACTACCATCAATAACTGATGATATTCAATTTCAACTTTCTAAAATGTATTATTAAGTACTGAAGTACAAGGAATATTTTTTTAAAAAAAGAAAATATTAGAATGCAAAGAAAGTAGAAAGAAGAAAATAAAGCAAGATGTTACAAAAAGGATTTTTACATTAAATTTAAAAAACAAACACCAAGGGCCATTTGTATCCCCAATAAAGGGGCATAGTTGAAATATTTGAACTTTACCTGGAACATTAGTAATTGTTAGTTAGTTTCTGCTTATGTCCTAAAAAGCATGTTCCATATATCTAAAACGGCTTTGGTCTGTGATATAATGTACAGAAGGGAGTCATTCTTGTTGTACTTAATTAAACTTCTGTTATGAATGCTTTGCCAATATATTACTCAGCTTTATGTCACTTTTCTGGTGAAATTATGGAAATCTTGCCTGCAGACAGTGAGGATTTGTATGAGAAAGAACAGTCAAAAATGGAATCCTCAGAGGACAAGGAAGCTGTATTCCTGAAGGGATCTTCCTTAACCTGTGGCATTGGTTGGAATAGTAGTGAAGGTCATGGCTAAGGTTTTTTTTAACCACCTTGTAACCACCCAACTGGACTGTTGCAACATGCTCAACATGGGACTGCCTTTAAAGACCATATGGAAGCTGCAGTTGGTTCTAAATACAGTGACCCCTTGATACTGTAAGGTTAACGTTCACTAGTGGGAATATCTTACACCTATGCTGTGGGCCCTATTTTGGACACCACTATCTTAGGTCCAATTTAAAGTGCTGGTCTTGACCTATAAAACTATTCATTGCTTGACACCAAGTTACTTGCCGAACATCATTCCCATTAAAATTAGCTGAACAAATTTGAACTTGCTGAGACGTTGCTAATAGTTTCCACCTTAGGCAGATATTGGCGGAGGAAGATTTGGAGGGTCCGCTTCACATTTCTAGCACCAGCCCTCTGGAATGTCTATATTTTACTTTAGCTCAAAATGGAGGGTTTTTTCAGAGGGATTTTGGAGCATGGTGATATTTTAGGTGAGATATATAGATGGTTGGCTGCTGGAGTTGCCTATATTTCAGATATGTGTATTCTTTGATTTTAACCTAAATGCAGATATATAATTGTTACTGTATATTTGTGAATCCCTTAGAATTATATGGAACTGTGATGTGATATTAAAAAAAATAATTAATTAGGACAAACTGCATTGCTTCTTTTGCTTAGTAGGCAACCAGTGTCATCATGAAATAAAGCCCTTAATTAATACAATCTTGATTATTTTGTGATTGTTAAGACCAATGCTTACTTCAGTCTAATATCATTCAAATATGCAGACCTCCAACTTTACACAGCAGTAGAGTTATTTGTACTCTCTGAAAGTATCATGTAATATTTCTTAAAAGTAGATTGCATCTGTTCATGTAGTAGCACAGGAATGACAACTCTAGAGATAAACATGGATAGATTTAGTCTCTTCTAAAAAAAAAATTGCACAAACAGCCTTTAAAATTACTTTATTCCCTTATCTTTTCATGCAGTCCCAATAACCAGAATAGATGGAATCCGCTTCATTGAATTTAGTCATTTAAATATATTTAATATGTGTTCTATATCTTCTGTCTCAAAACAGTAACTCTCCCACTACATATGAAATATGGAAATATTTTCATTTTCTTACAATTAATATTTTTTCTTCTATAAAAATATTATTCCATATAATGAAAAAATGTTATTGTCTTTTGCAAAATATTCCATCTGCTTAAAAGTTTGAATTATCTCTTATTGTTTGACAGATAGTTAATAGTACATTTGGTTAGAATCATTTCACTATTGTTTATTTGCACATCACAGAGTTACGTGGAACATTCTTTTCCACTGACTTATATAAAGCTTTCTCTTATGAACAACTTCCCGTTTTGATTTTTCCTTTAATATAATTTGATTTCTCTATATATGCTTAAACTTTTAATCTTGACAATAAAACATTGTTGGACATAATTACTTGGAAAGCAGGCAATTTATTGTAATGCATTAATAACAAAACGATACTTGCAATATACAGATAGTTTTTCTCTTGACTATTAAAACAATTATAACCCTTTATTAAGTTGTACTGGAACAATAGGTCTTTCTCTCTCTCTCTCTCTCTCTCTCTCTCTCTCTCTCTCTCTCTCTCTCTCTCTCTCTCTCTCTCTCTCTCTCTAACTTCCTCTTTCCCTCCTCCCTCCCTCCCTCCCTCCGTGTGTGTGTGTGTGTGTATGTGTGTGTAGATGGAAGATGTGCTCGTTGTCTTTTTTTTATTATCTAGCATATCATTATTTAAGGCAGTGGAGTACAATCTACTATAAAATTAACCATGAGTTCCATTTTTGCAACCATTAATATTTCCCAGATCGGGCTGTCAAAACTTATGGCACACTATCATATAACATGAACATGATTTTCTACTATGTTCTGATTTGACATAAAACACAATACAGGCAGTCCTCATGTAGCAACCACTATTAGTCATTAAATGAAGAAGTTGCTAAATGAAAATTGCATTACTGTGCTTATGATTTTATTTCAGGTTTACTTTGCTTTAAACTTTAAAGAGTCAGAAGGATAGGACCTCAAAGAGTTTGGTGAGCCCAAACAGTTGGCAAGTTTGAATGAATGGTAGAGATTCCTGATTTTTATAGTTATTTTCCACCTGAAACTCACTTTTTCACATACAGAGAACAAAATTAACAGTGTGGCTAATTGAATATAAATATTCAAAAACCTGCTTATCAAGTCAACAGTGTAAGATCATTTCTTCATTATTCTCCCCATCATTATTTTTGTTTCAGGAAATCTCTCCCTCGCTGCCAACGAATTAGCAGAATGCTCTCCAATGAATCCTTGCGCCCTCCCGTGTATAGCCGTTCCAATTCCCAAGCTTCTGTTGATAGCACTTCCATGGAGGATTTCTGGTGTGAGGTACAAAACATCAAGGAGAACACAGAAGAAAGGCAAGATGAGCAAACCTTGTTAGAAATGAAGCCTCCTGATGGTACGAATAAACAATTCCGATGTTCTTTGATCTTTTTTTTAATTATTCCAAAACGGTGCTGGTGTAATAAATGTTCATTTATGCTTGAGAACTGACTCAAAACCACTGCATAGCTATTTTGAATAATAATATTTCCAAGGTTTTAAATTCTACTGATTTTAGAATGAGGTTTCACATGAAAAACACTGAAGTGTGTAAGAAAACTGAGGGGAAGATGAATTCAGGGGCAGCATTTAAAAGATAAAAATAAGTATCACTGCAGGATGAATCCCATGATTAAGTGACTAATAGTTACCTGTAAAAGCCTTCAACAGAAATTATACAAAGAGAATCAAATTATACAAAGAGAAATTATACAAAGAGAATTGAATACAGAAGTTCATGGGATGATTCGTTGAACTGAACAGTTACCAGCCATAATTCTTTAAAATGGTATTTGTTTCCTTCTGGATATATAGAGGGTCTGAGTAAACAAATACCTCCAAAGTTTGTTCCTTTTTTCATTTTATTGCATTAAAAATCATTCAACACACAGTGTGTCACTGTGAAACATTTGTCCCTTGTTCAGTCAATTCATTTAAGGAGTAACTGAATTGAATATGTGAGTACATCATAGAATAATCAGAGCTAACGTAAGACAGCCCAATGTTATATAAATCTTACAAATTTTTAGAAGTCAGAGTAAAGTTTTCACTAGGCAACTTTCATAAGCACATTACATCCCACTCAAAACTTTTTAAAGATATCTGTAAAAAAAAGCATTGGCGCTTATTGAATCTAATCCACAGACCAATATATTATTTTCAAAGACTTCTTACAAGTGGTTGTCCTGTTAACAACATATCAGCATAGAATTGCCCTGGAGGGCCTTCAAAAAACTTCCAAAAATATCTAGGGATGTCCAGACCCCACATGCCTTGACTAAAGAGTCTTTGTGACTCACAATCAGAAAAGTAAAGTGTGATTTATGGGAGAGGAAGCCATTCCTCACTAAGAGCATTGATGTTCATCTGAAGTTTGTTAGGAGAAATATTCTATGGAAAAACAGTAACAAATGCAACTTTTTGAACTACATTATTATTTGCCTTATCTGGTGCAAACCAAACACTGCATTCTATAATTAAGACCATGTACCACCTGTAGGGTATGAAGGTAGCAGTAAAATATGTAAAAGATGCTTTGCTATTTCAAGACCTAGATGACTTGCCATAATTGAGGAACCCTGAATTTTGCTTTACAGCAGAAAAATCTGTAGTATTCTGAAAATTCTGTCTGCTGAAGCTGAAATGTAAGTAATGAAACACAACCATGATCTCAGAGATACAAACAGGTTTACATGAAAATGGATGAAGAACAGAATTCAATATGCTGACATCAAAATCCAGACCTAAACTCCATAGAACTGTTATAATGGGACCTGAAACAATCAGTTTGTGTCAGAAACCCTCAGATGTTACTGAGCTGAAACAGCATGCTATGGAGGAATGGACCAACTTTCCAACACACGAGAAACTGATCATTGGTTACAGGAAATGTGATGGCTGCAGTTATTGCCAGGAAAGTTGGTGCAACTAGTTACTGAAATAAAAATAATAATTACTTTTTCACACTACTTTATTGTATGTTAGATTGCTTTATTGGATCAATATGAAACTGTGATAATATTAATTGGCAAGTTTCGTTTGGCAAAGGTTTGCAAACATTCAGAAAATCTAAAAGGGACAAAAAAATAGATGTAGATATTTTATGGGAGATGGTGATTCAAAAGCTGCTTAGCTTTGTGATTGAAATGTTGAGCATTGACCGATGATTTATGGCCCACTGTATTTATTTATGTGTACAGTAAATGTATGTTTACATATTATTAGAAGCTATGGAAGACTTACAAAATGAAAATAGTTTTAATGGCATTTTAAAAACAAAGTGTCTACATTTAAACATAAAACATCATTAAACTACAAACCAAACAATTATATACTCAGATATTTAACAGATTAAACAAAACTTGAAAGCAAGCATTAAATACCTGGGCAAACAGAAATTCATCAAACAGAGATTTAATTACAAAATCAGTTTCTCTGAAGTTTTTTCATTTAACCAGATGGAGGTTCTGAAGAAGATCATCTAAATATTGTCTCAGGAATCAACCAAGTTCTTAACTACATTACTTCATTATATGTCCCAGGAAATCCTCACCAATTTACCAGAAGGAGTAATACATAGCACGAACCATCTCTGAGAACCAACAAAATTTGAAAAACCAGAAAAAATAATAAGAATGATTGTAGTAACTACTACCGTAGCTATAACTGAAGGAAAATATGTCATACATTTCACTGAAGATCTATTTAGAAGATTTGTTTGGCTTATATAGAAAATGGAAAGTATTTATTTAGTAGTTCAAGTAGATTTAGTAGATTTTTTTTGCTTGACATAACTATTTTGCTATGATGCAGTCAAATTTTCAAAAGACAGCCGGAATTTTGGAGATTGGGGGAAAGGTATCTAAAATGGAATAAAAAAAAGTAAAAGAGAAAAGGTTCAATGGGACAGTATTATTCAAAGTTATTTGCTTTTTCACAGCTTTAGCAAGAGATTGATATAAAATTTGTATATATGAAGGGCATTTCAGCAAGCACTGAAATGTCTTCTCTAGAGCCACACAAGGAAATGAGCCCTGTCATGCTTCAAGTTGCTATGTCTCAGCTGGAGTGGTAAAAACAGCAAATAAACAGAGATTAATTATTTTCCCTTTATGCTAAAGGTTTATATCAGGGGTCTTCAAACTTGGCCCTTTTATGACTTGTGGACTTCAATCTGGGAGGGCCAAGTTTGAAGACCCCCGGTTTATATCTTAACATTTTTACTGGCAATTTGGTTATAACTCTTTAGGTCTCATTGATTTTAATAGGGGAAATACTCTGAAGATGAACATGTTTTTAATTCTTCTACAAAGATCATTGTTTTTCCTACAGTCTCTAAACAATTCTGCAAATTTCTTGACAAGTAGGATAGCGCTACACCCTTGAGGTCTTTTACTCAGAATGGATTGCGCCAAGCCTTTATAAAATATACAGCTTCTTTATTTATTGCATTGTGGGTGGGTGGGGGAGAAAAGACCTGTGTGAAGCCCTACCTACAGGTTAAATATTGCCTTGGAATCCTGGAAATGAATTATAGTCCCACTTGTGTCTACTAAGCATAAAGTTTCTTGAGCCTTGGGGGCTGAATTAATGAATTAGTTATACAGCTTTATATTAAAATTGATAAAATCATGAGGCAGCATTCTTCCAGAGCTAAGAAAAGGTAAAACCACATTTACATTGCTGCAGCAAATGGCAATTTAATTTTTTGCCTTCCCCCCCCCCAAGATTGTTGCAAAGTTTCTGAACATCAAAAAAAAATCTGAAGTTTTTCTTACTTATCTCAGTATTTCTATTTTTATTCTTTTAAAGATACTTATTTGTTAGGATTTTAAGGCTTGGAGCCACCCAAAGTCATTTGCTACAAGAGGGGCATTAAATAAATTCAATAAATAAATAAAATAAATGTCTATGCCATGGGCAAATCCTTGATTTTCCCCCCCTCTAGAATATACCATATATTCCCAACCCAGCCCTTGTCATCTTTTGTAGCAATAACTGCAGCATATCCTATTTGGGCTGCCTTGAAATCTACCTGGAAGCTGCAGCTGTGCCATCACACCAATGCAGTGGCTCTCCATTGGTTAATAGTAGGCTTCCAAGAAAGCTGAGCTTTTCAAAGGGAGCCTTTGAGGATTAGATCATTATCATTGGAATGCCTAGTAATTATTAAGATTATGAGTTTAATAATTTTAGTAATAATTTTAGGATTTAATAATACATGAATTATGTATAGTAGTCTGATTATTGTCTCGTGATTGCCATAACCCTTTTGGGATGGTTACAATATAGAAATATAGAAAATAATGTTACTGTATTGTATCACTCAATAACATAGAAAGATACATACTGAGTCAGGCCAAAGGCAAAATTAATTCAGCAGCCTGCCCCCAAGGGCCTTTATTGGAAGCTTACAATGGCATCTTTCCATCAATGTTTTCCAATAAAAGGCAGTCGTGAATTTACTTGGATCCTTTTGCCTGGTTTATATATTTAGCTCATTCAGGTATCTTAGTCCAGAGAGATATGGTGATGTTTTTTAAAATATACTTTGTTTCTTTCAGAATTCTAAGACATGCTAACCAAATTAGTAATCTTTGCTTATTTATGTGAAATCTCTTAGAGGTCTATTCAGTCTACCCTGTCATAACAGCTACTTAATTTTCTTATGTACTTAATCAAACACTGTTGTTTGATATAAAAGTTTATAAGTAAATAATGTTTTGCCACTATTAGCATAAAGTACTGACACAAGCTTGAACATGTTAATTATCACATTGAAAATTGCAAAGCAAATGGCTAACATATTTCCTTATAAGAAGTACTGGGGTTTTTTTGTGAAATAACTCACAGTTTTTTCTAACATAATTGTAAAAAATTATTGGTAAAATATAACATATAAAAAGTAATGCAATAAGGAATATGAAGAATACAATTAAAAATAAACTAAAACTTAAGGGGGAGAATCCACAGCACATTAATATAAAACTAGTTCAATGCTTTGACAAATTATTAAGATACCATGTGTAAACACAGTGCTCCAGCTTATCATTTTTTATAATATAAAAGACATATTTTATTTTACTTATTTATGTATTTGCATCCTGTCTTTATTATTTTTTATAAATAACTCAAGGCAGCACACATTCCTCCTATTTGCCCCATAATCACAATCCTGTGAGGCCAAGGTCATCCAGCTGGTTTTCAGGACTAAGAAAGGACTTCAACACACTTTCTAGTCTGGTGCCTTAGCTACTAGACCAAACTGGTTCTCTATCAAAATATTGAAAGTTAATATAAGCAACACATCTTTTGAATCCATTAATACTATTTCTGTATACCTACATAGGGTAATTCTCTTTCTGGAAGCCCTGATTCAATAGACATAAAATTCTCTATAAAATGTTAAATTTCATTTCATTTGATGAAGTGATTTTCAACTAATGTAAGCTGATGCCTTTTCATAAAATTTGTTAGCTAGAAAAGAGTGCTACCAGATTCCTTCTGATTTTGGATATCATTCACTAATATAGCTCACCTGGAGCAGCCTGAGGAGATGTTGGTGGTAGTCATTGCATGAAAGGACCCGGGCTTAGCCACCCACCATCACCTTGATCGAAGCGCCACCTTGTCTGCAAATGGGCAAAACTAACTGGGAGCTATTGGTTCATCCTCTACAACAGTCCCACTTCTTCATGTGGTCCCTTGGAAAAATGAATTGCTCACTCCTGCTTCAGACCATCCATGCTGTTGACTCTTGATTCAACCTCATCTTGGCCCAAAGCTTTAGATACAAGCCAGATCTTCACAACCATCCAGAAGGCTAAAGAATACCCCACCAAAAACCTCAGCTGGGAAGCTATTCCAAAAAACCAAGGTGGCTACAAACAAAGCACATCTCCAAGGTCCCATCACATGACAGTGTTTAAAGAATTGACCTGGAATGTGTTCACCTTATCTGGTTTAGTAGGATGGGCAGATGCTCTCAGATTGAGGCAGTCCTGAATATAACCTGTGTCCATGTGATGTAAAATTTTAAAGATGATAACCAGAACCTTGAATTGCACCTGGAAAACAACTCGGAGCCAGTACAGCTCATTCAATAATGATGTAACACTAGCAAGGGCAAACCACAAAGTGCCCAGAACTGCAAATGCCACTACGTTCTAGATTATTTTCAGCTTTTGGATGGTCTTCAAGGGTGGCCCCATGTAGAGCACATTGCAATAATCCAATATATAAAAAGTGTTCCACAACTGAACACAGTTAAACTAATAAAAAGAAACAAATTCACAAGACATAGTCACATATATTGTACTCCCTAACATCTCAGCCCTAACACCTGGGGGACAGGCATTGACAGCCTTCCCAAAGATCAAGAAGTTGGAAGCCTCAGAGTCTTTGCTTTAAGGAGCTACAAACAGAAGCTACGTGTGTGCCCCTGCATACTCCAAATCAGATTTTCCTCTTCAAAATCAGATCACTGTGCAACCCTTGACCCTAGAATGTCAAATACTAGTATTTCTAGCCAATTACTTTTAAAAGATGAAAGAACGTGTCTGCAAGATGACATATAAGCCTATTCCAAGGATATAGATAGATATATTTTGTCTTACATCAGTATGTTTGTGCAGAAAGTGTTCTCTGATTTATTCCCAATATCAAAGCATTTTGCATTTAGACATCTCAACAAGATGCCCTCCCTTTCTGAAGTGTCTCTACTATACTGCATTGTTCTACAGATTCTGTGCCTGCCTGCTCATACAAAGCTGTTTTCAGAAGTATATTTTTATAAAGATTCTTATTAAAAGAAATTGTAATCACCTAGAACCCAGCCCTACAGAGTTGAGCATGATTAGTGGTTATGGCACACTGACTAGCAATTAGATCAGGTGGGAAGGAAGAATGAAAAAATACTAAAATAGTATTGAAAGGGTCATGTTTGTGGGACTTGAATAACATCAATTTACATTGCAATATTTGGTGTGGATCTTTCTTGTTATCACCCTGTCAAAATTTAAGAGTCAGATGTTCAGACGAGGAAGGAATTTTGTGGTGACAATCTTCTTGTCCTTTCATCATATTCCTAATGTTAACCTCACCCTGGATTCATCTTTTCAGACTAATAGATTAAAAGGTATGAATTTTCATGAGCTGGGCCTCACCGTCAAATTCTTAGAAAGGCTAGATTGATGGAAGATTTAAACTGGGGTGATATGAGGGGTAAGGAGTGGAAAGCAAGTTGGTCATTCAGATACTGGTTATATGTGAAACAGATTAGAAGTATCTTATCAATTCATACAAATTTATGCCTTTTAACAAATTTTGTTAGTCAGAAAAAGTGTGACCAGGCTCCTTATATTTTGCTACCTTAGGCTAACACTGTTTGCTTCCTATAATATCTGCTCCTCTATAGAAGGTGAACTAGAAGCTGAATGGTTGCAAGATGTTGGTCTGTCTACATTAATATCAGAATCTGAAGAAGACAATGGGGAAGCATTGCTATCAACCTTGACCCGAACTCAAGCAGCTGCAGTGCAGAAGAGGTATACCACATATTCTCAGACCATGAGAAAGAAAAATAAACACATAATCAGAGATGTGCGTGATATCTTTGGTATCCATAACTCCTCTGTAAGTGAACTATTTTAATGCTTTAGACATTTTTGAAATGTATTTGTTATTATTTTGGTTATTGGTTGATTACTCTGTGGAGTTTTGCTTTAAATTGGTATAATATTCTGTACTAAAACGTTGAGAAAATGTTTAGCAAGGCCTATCAAAAAGTAGTTTCTGCTTCCTTTTTTATTTTATACATTCTGCTCTTGAATGTGATGATGGTAGATAGGAACAGTAACTGCGCTCTTCTTTAAAACTTTCGCCAGACGTTGCTCATGAATTCAAATATATTTTTGTTCCTATAAGAACTACAAATGAAAAAAAAGAATTAAAAAATTCTGTGGTTTATCTTGTCACCTTTTATGTCATTCCATGAAGAAGTTAAGTGACAGTAAATCTCATTTAAAGTTTGTAAAAAGGAATACAATATGTGCAAGTACAAATGTATATCAAATTACTTAGGCCACCTCATTCTATTTTCTAAGGAATGTATTTATGGACATATCCTTGGGTGGCTAATAAAATGTATTGGGTAGTGATAACAAAAAATATTATGATTATAACATATGTTTATATATAACAGATGTTTTGCAGTAGAAATCTACTTATTCTTTCAATATGTCTTCATGAAATATTTTATATATAGGACTTAATAACTATTTTAAAAAATCACGTTTGGAAATGTGTTATTATTGAAAATAAAATGCCTTTCTATGAAATACATACCAAAACTTCCTTTTGCCCACAGCTCTGTCAATTAAAACTTGTTGTGATATTCAAGGCAGTATTAGCAGTTTTAGTAATATCAGTACACAAGAACACATACTGTTATCAATACGTTGTTTTCTATCCTGTTCATTAATTGACCATTTTATTTCCAGTTGTCATTGTATGATTTCAGTGATTTCCAGTGCTATTGTAAGTTATATGACATTCCTAGGCTAATTTTAAGTAGAGCTGAAATGATACATTTCACCTTGATAATAGCCAAACAAATGGGAGAAGCCATATTGAACTGCTGTATTTCAATCAGTGTGAATTTTTTTAAAATAAAAAATAGTTAAATCATTTCCATTCATATTTTTGAGGTAATTGTGGTACACTTCTATGAAATTCTATGTGGTTTTCTTTTCCTCTTTTTGTTTTAATGAAATATAATTTTATTTTAATTACAATTACCATTTAATTTGTACAGTATGAAGAAAGAAAATTGTGTAATGCTAACTGCAGATTATGAATTTTATATTTAAAATTACAGATTTGTATTAGAGATAAATTATTCTAATGTTTTCTTGTCTTCCAGCCTACATTTGAAACTCTACCAGTGTTACCTGTTACAACCAATAGTATCAATTTTTCTGTGCAGAATCCAGATTGGAAAATGGTTAGCTGTGAGTATTTATTAATAGATAACATAGCTTTTTGTTTTTTTCAAAAAAAATCTGGGAAATAATTTGATCATTGGTGGCAGTATCATATTTAAATTTTAATGCAGAAATCCTATATATTATTACTTCAGAATAAGTCTCTTTTATCACTGTGGGAATAATGACTAATTATATATTAGAATTTGTCATAGATTTATTTTATGCTATTCTTTCTGATCCCAGACATTTTCATCATAAGACATTTCTACTATTTCCTTTATCACTGAGCAAAAGTAACTTTAATAAAAGGCAGACAGTTCTTTTTTGATATGATAATATCACATCTCACTTATCTTTGTTTAAATATCTTGAAGTAATACACTTTTAAACCAAGCAATAGTCATAGGTACCATCAATTTCATTTTTTTAAAGAATGCTGACAGGTCCTCCACAGGACAAAAATATATACTTGTAAATAACTATATTTTGTTTTACTTTTCACTTTTTCACTTTTGAAAAAAAAATTGAAAGAATGTAAAACAAATTAAATCAGAAAGGAAAGAAGTTGGCAGAAACCAAAAGAGTTCCTTGGGACTTTTGTTACCATGAGCCTCATATTGTCTGCACCTGATTAAAACCCACTGAGTTCAAAATGGGGAGAAAAAAACTGCATATTTTTTTTCATTCCATCTACAAAGCTACTTCAGGTCCCTCATTTCTTCGCTGCCAGTGATTTAAATTGGATCTCAGTTCAGGAACTGAGGTGGAATAAATGAATAGCAAATATCTTCATGATTCTTTCATGAATTGCCATATAGCTCTTACTATAAACAAAAAGAAATATGGTTAATGCTCTAGAATTAGTTCCTCCAACCTTTGAGTGTGTTATTTTTCCATGGAGAATACAGCATTCATGAAAATTTCCCTTGATTTCAGCTAGTGACTGTATGGAATATGAACTCAATAAAGACAGCCAGATGGAGAAAGAGTTTTCCCTTGAAATTTCATTCTCAGAATCAATCACGGTGGTTCCAAAACACAGAGATTGTCACAAAAGTCAAAGGTTAAAAAAGGATGATTCTTCATTACCTGTAAGTTTAAGCTCCTCAAGTTTATGTACTCTATATCATACCTGAGTTTCTTTCAAATAATGGCTATCTTAAAATATGTTACATTGACTCTGGAGATTTATATATATATATATATATAAAGGAAAGCCAGATTGTTTTCTAAACTTGGGCTATTACTCTGAAATGAATAACTAAGAAATAAGGTACCTTGCTGAAATTATTCATAGAATATTCACATTAGAAGAAAAAGTCTTTGATAGGCTTTAATCGCAAATTATGAAAGTCAAGAAAAATTTCACTTTCCTATCAAATTTTACTAGAAATGCCTAATAAACAGCCACATGCTATATGCAGATTAGTCAAAGATGCTACAAATCTAGTATGCACAGCTTTGTTCTATCTGTCAAAAATTTGAAAGGCACAAAGAACTTAATAAAATTACTTTATTTCTCGTGCTGAACTCAAGCAAGTTTTTCACGAGTTCCAGAATCTGTTGGGCAAGCTCAGGAAAAAAGCACAAGGCTTTAAGACCCCAAGGTTTAGAATTTTTTTCCTCCCAGAAATTGAAGAATGAATTCTGCTTCAGGAGTTTCATAACAATATAATAAGTAGCAAAAAGAGAAAAAGAGAAAAATCTCTTAGTGTTAAAAAAGCTAATTATTGTAAAAAAAGCATTTTGTAGAAGTGGATAAATAAAATAATTATATCAAGTTTTTTGCCATCTATAATTACCTAATTTAGTGTACTAAGTGATGAAAGCTCTGTCAAGATGTTTTGAATAAGTTCATAAATATTTAAAAAAACCCAATAAATATTGACTCTTAATATTCCATGTTGCATACAAATGTTATTTCAGAATTATTCATACGATGGAAGAAGAGAAACTGCTATATAGACCTACTATCTATAAATACTTGAGTTTATACAGATTTTCTCATGTACCAGGCCAGATATATAATCTTTGCTTGAAAACACTGTCATTTTTTTGCCTTTCTCTATTAGGTTTATCCTTCATAGGAAGACTTGATGATAGCTGCTGCAGGGATGCATATTAATATATAGTAATTTCCCTAAACATAAAATAAATTTAGTCTAATCTTATTCATACAGTAATTATTCAGAAATAAAGAGCAATTCTAAATGAGTTTGGGTGGGAGAGTGAAATGGTGCCATGCTACTTGTAAGTCTTCCATATTTGTATTTAACAAGGCAAGAATCTAAATACAGTTTGTTTAATATTATTTTTAATAATTATTAAAAATATTAAATTTTAAAATATTATTTTAAATTCCTACAATAGAAGGGGAAGTTAACTCTGCCATCTATAGACTGAGGATTGTAATCAGCACTTTTCTTAATAGAATGATTTATAACTTGATTCACTTGCTTTTTTGTAAAAATATACTTAAGGATGAAAAACTATGTGCATGCATGCATACTTAATAATGTTTTTGAATGTTAAAGAATTATTTAAAATCTGTTACAGAAATATACAATTAGGAAAAGTCGACTTGGATTAACTGAAGTTGGAGATTTGTCTCCAGAGGACATGAAGAAAATTCGTTATCTCTCTCTGATTGAATTAACGGCTGTCTATGATGCTTTAGGAATAGAGTTGAAAAGGAACCGGACAGAAAGGATGAAAAGGCGAGGTAATTACAAACAATGTTATGATATTAGATATTTAAGTTTTTAGTAACCAGCAAAACATTACTTATCTGAAGTGTCTTATTATAACTTATTTTTTGTTTAAGAAAATGGCCTTTTTGGAGTTCCATTAGCAGTGCTCTTGGAAAATGATCAAAAAAAGTTTCCTGGAATTAAAGTCCCCCTCATTTTTCAAAAAGTGAGTACTAATTTAACGAACGTAATCTTAATCACCACTGCATATATAAAGAATAATAGTCATTAATCTTATAGTTTCAGGACAGTTGACAAGCTTATTTCTGCTTATGTTTTCAGTCAGAAAGATGTAACTTCAGATAAAATCATACCTCTCCTAGTTCAGTGTATATATTGTGCTTCCTCAACCTGAAGCCTTGAAATGTTTTTTGGACCACAACCCAAGAATTCCAATAGTTTGGTCACAGAATAGCTAGGAATTCTGGTACCTACATTCCAGTCCTTCTAGAAGATTCTAATTGGAGGCCCTGTTCTAGAAAAGATAATATAGTCACACTGAGTGCAAGTTCGGCTTGCTGACTCATCATGATAAAATAGAAGCAGTTGTTTTATCTCTCGTTTTTATTTTGCTTGCATTTTCTTACTAAGAATAACTTTAGATCTTAATGATGAGTGATTACTATTATTATTATCTAGAAGACTATAACACAATTTTATTTCCTAAAGAGCCCCAATAATTCTTTCAATGTTTCATTCAATAGAAAGTTTTAATTCCTTGTTTAATTTTTGTTTGGGCAAAGGTTCAGGGTATCTGTTATCTTTAAGCTTCTCACAAAGTAAATGGAATTCAAAAAACTAATAAAAAAGGCACTTAGGCATTTGGACTAGTTCTGTTTACTTAATCACACTGATTATTTTGCTTAGGCATAATGTTTTACGTTCACGGGAGCCAATAGTTGTAAAAATGTCTCTTTCTATATTTTTAAAAATCTCTGCACTAAAAAAATTTGCATAAAAGTATTTTGTTTATTATGACATAGCTATTGCTCAAACTTGAAGAAACTGGTCTGGAAACGGAAGGTATTCTTCGAGTGCCTGGATCTGCTTCCAGAGTGAAGGTAATCAGTTTTTCTTTCAAAGTTAAAGACCTTTGATGTAGGGAGAAAATCATTTATGGGCAAGTTCTGTGTGAACGTATGTATTCATAAAACAAACTGTTTATTATACATATTAATAGTGCTCTCAATTTTATAGTTGTCACACAACGAACATGTCCCCTAAACCTCAAAGTTTGGTGAACAAAAACATTGTTGGGACAAAAACAACATTAAATGCTAGATCTGTGCAGAGCTTTGGATTCAATTTCAGAGGGGTGCATCAAAGCATGCAAGAGGGAATTCATTAGCAGCCTGCAATTTTATAAAGCAGTGGCAAACAGGTCCTATGTTTGCCCCATGCAACTGACTTTGTACATCCCAAAGCACCTTTCTGCAATTGACTCCAAATAATCCCATAGAAACCCGCCGCCCCCCTTTTTTTTCCTTTTGTTCAATCATGTCCAATTCTCAGGAACTGTCTGGACAAGTCCCTGCAGTTTTCTTGGCAAGGTTTTGCAGAAGTGGTTTGCCATTGCCTCCTTCCTATGCTGAGAGAAAGTGATTGGCCTAAGTTCATCTAGCTAACTTTGTGCCCATGAAGGCCTCCTGGTTTCTAGCCTTATGTTTTAACCACTACACCAAACTGGCTATCATCCCATAACCTTGTTGAATATTAAATATGCTCAGTAAAAACAACAGGGAAATTAATGAAGTATGGCAAATAGGTATATTCTATCCAGCATCCTATTTCTGCAGATCTGCAGATCATTGACTCTTAGTAACCACATAGATTTTCTCATGATGATATATCCCTAACCTGGTCTTTCAGATCTTTCAATGGCGGACCTATTGTCACTATAACTGAGTCCATCCACCTTGTTGTTGGTCCTCCCCCTTTCTCTTTCCTTCTGCATTTCCCAGAATTAGAATATTTTCCATAGAACTGGGTCCTTGCATAAGGTATCCAAAGGAGGACAACTTGACCTTGTTCATTTGTACCTCTAATGAGAATTTTGGATTGATTTTTCAAAATGTTTCATTTCTTGACTGTTCATGTTATTCTCAGAAATCTTTTCCAATATCAAAGTTCCAAAGTCCATAATATTCCTATCCTACTGTTCCTTCCAATTTTTACTTCCTTAGGATATCGTAGAGAGTACTGTGGCATGCATAATTCTGATCTTTATAGGTACAGACACATCATAACATTTCAATGTCTTTTCCAAAGTGAATTCGATATGATAATTCTGTTAAATCATTACAGTATTTGCTGCTCTAGTTTTATCAATGATAATTCACCCTAGCAGTTATCATCTGCTTGCTTTAGCTCACTGCTAAAAATATTTAAGATTAAGTATGTATGTTTGCAGCTTTGACCTAGATCTGTTGTACTGTTTTGCTGCATAATGCATTATCCCACCCATCAAGCTTTCCTGAAGATGGGTGATATCATCTCTTTTAAATATTAAATAAATATGCTGAAGTGAATGCAGCAAAAGAATAGGTGTGAGGGAGAGGAAGACCAGAGCCAAAAGCTGAGACAGAAAGAGACTAGAAAGAACAATTCTTCCACCTAAACAAAATGTCCCCAGAAGAAATCTTACCAAGCCCCTCAATTTGGAAGCACCTCTGTCACCTTTGTCAATTAGATTCAATTTATGCAAGAGAACAAATGTGTAATTCAAAGAACACAAAATTTTACTACTATGGAAGAAAGTATTCAAAATAAAATATAAGATGATAATACTTGTAAGGAAGTCACCTTATCTATCTTTTTCTTTTAGAAGAGGGAAACCCCAAACCCAAGAGGGAATAGCCCTACTACTTTACTATAGTTTCAGATAGAACAATTCTATCTTACCAGTTCTTTGCTGCATGTATCAGATTTCCTACTGGTAAAGAGCTACTTTTGCTGAGATTATCAATAAGGAGCAACATGGTGTTAAGCTAGGAGAAGAAAGACCACGTTCATGTTCACTCCTAGCCATGGAAACTTAAGGACTGGTCACTCTTGCCTGTGTCACAGGGCTGTTGTGAGGAGAAACAGGTGAGCTGAATGCTACGCACTCTGCATTGAAGAGAGGCTGGATACAGATCTGAGAAATCTAACTACACCTGGAGAGTACCATTCTAAAAAATAAATGCATTAGAGGCATCTTGCCATATTAATCTGAAACAGCTGCTCTATTCAGCTTCGATTTTTGTTCAGCCTGTCATTTCATAAACATTCAAGGTTTTATCTATTCTAACTATTATATACTGCAGCAAGAACAATACTTTCAGCATTAGATTTCATACAGTTTATAGGCTGCCTTACTTTTTTCTTTGTCTTCTGAGCCACTGTGATATGTTTTACTAGGTCAGACTTCTCTGTACTAGAAGGAAAGCCAAAAGTCCCTAGGAAAAATGCCATGTTTTTAATTTCAGTTATTGAATCATTTAATGTTACCCCAAAAGGGGAAACAGAAAAGGACATTTTTAAAGCTGGTCCAGATTTAACTATTCAAAGCCATCGTTTATTATGTTGACATTCACATTTGAAAGCATTCCCATTTCTTAAATAAAATACATGTGGTTCTGATTTGAGATTATTCTTTGAATGTAGCAGCTGAATAAAGACTCAAAGAGTCTTCTGTGTTCTTTAACTTCTACTTGTATCTATAAAAGGTTGCTGCCAGCTGGTCTATGTTTCAGTTCAGGCAAGAGATATGCAAAGCTATGTAGAGACAAATATGAGATTTTAGAGTGATACATATACTATTAGTTCAAATATCTTTACTATTTGACATGTTACTTCTTCATGAATATTACCAGAACAACAAGGATTTGTCATGGGAGGTATCCACCAAGATGCGGACATTGAGCAGAATTGGGTTTTATTTTCACGTGCGCTGTACTTTAAGTTTCCTGTGATAGCTACTTCAGGATTAGAAAATACTGTGTGAAAAGAGGCTATTTCATTATTCTACTGTACTGCAAAGACTTGAGTCTACATGCAATTAAAATACAGTTTCGTCTAACTGAATTGAGCATTATTTGTAAAAAGTTAAATTAACTTAACTTTAAATTAAATATGTTTGATATTGATATTCAAACTATATAAGATGGTTTTAAAAATGTTATACTTAATCCAGGCACAAACTGTATATACTTTATAAATTATATTGTAACTTTAATTTATTAATTTTATATTAAGTAATTATATTAATTTAATAATAATTTCATTAATAAATACTAATATTCTGCGAAATCAAGTTGTTTAGAAACAATAAAACGTAATACAATTTCTTTTATTAGTGGTCATGCTTAACATTAGGCACATTTGCTTATCCTGTAGAGTCTTCGCCAAGAAATTGAAGCCAAATTTGATGAAGATGCTTTTGATTGGGATCAAGTACGCAACAATGATGCAGCAGGACTGCTGAAGATGTTTGTGCGAGAACTACCAAGTCCTCTCTTTCCTGTTGAATACTTGCCTGCTTTTATCACATTAGTAGAAAGTAAGTAGGGAGGACTCAATGTTTCACAAACCAATTGTTTATGCCACAAAGAAGAGGGAGTCAAGCTATTCTCCAAAGCACCTGTATGTCATATACCGTATGTCAGTTGCAACTCTATGTCAATGCACATAGCACCTGTTGCTTTGCCTAAGGGACCTGTGCACTTCCGATTTACTTTTGTTAAGTCTGTGTGATTTCATCCTCCAGTTCAAGTACCAAGTCTGGATAATTGGATACAATATACCATGCATGGCATATACCAGGGTAGGCAACCTTGGCTCTTTTATGACTCATGGACTTCAACTCCCAGAATTCCTGAGCCAGCTATGCTGGCTCAGGAATTCTGGGAGTTGAAGTCCATGAGTCATAAAAGAGCCAAGGTTGCCTACCCCTGGCATATACAATAATAGAAGGGAAAATGAAGAGAGGGAAAGTGAAAAGTAAAATTTTTGACTTTATCAATAGGTACCATCTCTCAGGTCTAGGTGTTACTCTTTCAAAATAAAGACCACGTTCGTAATATTTGTAACTTGAAAAACGTACAAGCAGTTTATTAATAGAATGAACTTAGTCTCAGTGACAAATCTCATCTACAGTATTGTAAAATAATCCGTATAATTTAAGCTACGTACATCTCATTATTCCACAGCCATGTGCAAAGGACTGCGGTTCTACATCATGATAAGCCAAAAGTAAACAAACCACAAAGTGACTTGCTACAGTGTATAACCAAGGCATAATTTGAGCTAGACTTGCAGCTGTTAGACCTGGGCAATGTGATAATAGTGATACAACAAATGTGAAGCAATGCTTTTCACTTATCAAAACACAAAAGTGAAGGAACTCACCTCACGAGGGTGTTTTATGTCATCCCAACACATGAGCAGAAGTCTCTGACAGCATTTTCCAATATCCCATAGAAAGCATGGAAGAAACCATCGGAGCAACATGAAGAGAAATAATGTGGCAATTTCTTTTTTAGAAGCAAAGGAGCGTGATACTTCACAAAGAATACCTTTCAAATTTAAAATATCTCAACTTCAATATGCTTCATTTTGTTTGAAATACTACTTTGCGTTTATATCAGGTTCTATTATACTGAGAATATTTCAAGCTTGAAATGATCACATTTTCAGCTCAAAATCCCTGTTTCATAATAAAAGCAGAACTGCTTCAGCCTTAAAACACTTCTGGTATACTGGGAACAACTCATTTTGAACTCAGAAGGGTGTTTTGAGCTCAAATTATTTTAAATTAAAATAATTAAAAGAAATCACATTTTTAAAATAGCACAGTCTTTAGTCTATGATTTTTAGACTCTTAATGTGGCATGGGGGTGTGTGGGGGTGTTTGGTAGAATTAAAGATGAGATTATCTAAAGTCCAGCTTTGTTGAAATATTTTTCTGTGGTTTTTTTTATGGACTTTTACTGATAATCTAAAAACAGTTAATTTTTCATGACTCCAATGTTGGTAGTGGGTATCTGTTCCAGACAGAAATGTTATGCTATTTCTTATAATGTCTGTGGCATTATCCCCTTTAATAAAAACCACACTTCTTGGACTGTTGAAAGAGGAGCTTCTGAGAGACAGTTCCATGTTGTTTATTATTGCAATGTCTTGTCCCTTAGCTACTTCTTATACTTTCATCCATGCAGGATATAGATTCCCTGCCAAAGGCAAAACTGCCAGTGATTTCAGTGAGATAATTGGTTGATTCAGCATAGTCTGTATCACAGGATTAAAATAAACTGCCAGGAATTGATGCCAACCAATCCACTTATAACCCCCTTTACTTTGGGTTAGAAAGACAATATTGTTTCTATGCCATTTACAAATCCTCTGCTAATATGGTTCAGTACTTTCATATAAACTGATGGCAAATGATAAATTATCCCTAGTGCTGTGTAAAAACTTTACAGTTTTGATTAAATCAGATCAGCTGACTGAGACTGATTCAATGGAGGGACATGAGTCCTGCTTCAAAATAGCATATTGAATTAGGAGAGTTCAAAGTCCTTTATAGGCTTTGGAGTGCTTCAGGACTAGAAGGCTTTGCAATTATTTCTGCCTCCTAAGGCAGGCACTACAAGTATGTGAAAGTAGTTACTAGTAAAGCATATGAGGAAGTAACTCATGACACATGGCATAGCAAGAAAGTTAAATACCATGTCTTTGTCACAACAATTAAGAATTCTCAAAAATAATTCTTAAATAGTATTTTAACAATGATTCCTCGAGGGTTTCTCATTAAGTAGTATTCAAATTGAATTTGACAGGTTAGATAAACGGGCTGTAAATAACACAATGAACTGTAATAGAGACAGAGCCAAAAGAATTCTCTTAGGAAATCGAAATAAAATGAATTTACACTGAATAAAAAATGTCTGGCTTTAGATTCCTTCAATGAGCAAGGAGCTAGATTTAACAGATACAGCTTACTGTGGTTCTGTCTGGATTTTAGCAAAGAGGATTTTACAATGCTTCAATTAAGATTTTTCAACCAACTGCAAAACTGTTTGTGTTCAGGTTGGATTGTCATTTCCCTATAGGAAATATGGTTTTCCCATCAATGAAAAGTAAATTGGGGTTTTTACTCTATTCTCCAAAACAATTTCCAGCTTGTAAGTGGTGTTTTACATGAGTACTTTGTGCCTAATCTAATTTTGGGATCTTTGAAATAGCTGTGCAAACATTAGTCATGGTCTTTTTTTCTTAGGAGACTGTAAGAAGAGCATACATCTACCACTCCTCAGTATAAGGCGCCCCAGGATTCATTAAAAAGCTTATTGTTGTTATTGCTTTTAATAGGGTTACTGATATTTAGAATAGACTCTTTCATAGCCACTTAAACTGGCCTAGCTTCAAAATGAAGAGAATAATGAAAAGTAAAAATAAACTGGAAAAAAAAACCTGAATAAAACCTAGATGAAACTAGTCTTTAGGATAGAATTATTAGAAAATTATGGGCTAGACATCTACACATTCATTAACTAAATTAAGATAATTGAGAAAATGCCATCCTACTACATATTCCAAAACCTTCGTAACAATATCAATAGATTAGTATCAGGGCATTGTTTTCCATGGTCAGTAACAGAATTAGGTAACCAGTTTTGTTCTACATCTTGTTCAAGAACAACTCCTAGGAAGCATAGCTAACGAGTAGGAGTGATTGAAGTTATTCAGTAATATCCGAGGTATTGCAGATTGCTAACTCTGTAATTTCAAGGTTTTTTTTGTTAGAGAGAGGGAAAGTGTCACTTTATTATGGGATTAATTTCAAGACTCTTTTCTTATCCTTGCACCTTCTCCATGTGCAGACAAGATTTAAATCTCCTTTAAGACATGGCAGAGCCACTCTGCTTTTAGAAAGATAAAGTATTGAAATAAACTATTTTCAGATATCAAGACAGAGATGTATTATGTTATACAGAGGATTTGTCCTTTGAACTAAAAGTTATGGCTTTTCAGACATCAAAGAACTGATTGGCAACCGATAATGAAAAATGGCCTGTTTGTGACCCGGATAATATCAGCTATGCAGAGAATGAATCCCAAAAGACAAGGCTTCCTTGTGAAGAATATAGTATTTTAATAGCCCAAGCAGATGTTTTCCATGCTATACAATGCTGGACAATTGAGCCTGATCAAATAAATAAATAAATAAATGGGAAAAAAAGGAAAAATGGCCAATACTGCATAGAAATTAAGAAGTAAATCCATACTCCGTCTCAGGTGTAAAAAAAGAAAAAAAATCTCATATTGAATATGAATCTAAAGTATGTGAGGAACTATAAAATAATATTTTCTTAATATTGCTTTATCAAATGCTTTTGTTGTGGGTTATCATTTTTTATTATCATTACAATAATCCAGAAGTTAGTAAAAACATCAAGAAAATGAAATACAAATTAGACCATTCTGGCAGAAGGATTAACAATATCAAAATAAATATACAAATGCAATCATGTTGATTGGGGGAGGGGGCCCCAATCTGAATAGACTAGTCATCCAATGCCATCAAAATAATCTGATGTCAAAATGTCTAGCAAATCAGGAGTTTGAGGGTGTCTGTTTTTCTTTATTTTCCTCCCAAGCAAGAGAAGCAAAATGATTAAGACTAGTGCCAGTGTGTGGACAGCCTAGAGCTATTAACACATTCAATTCTGACATTGTTAATAATAGAACAGAGTTTAGCTAAGACTAAAAATAGTACTCTTAGCGGGGTATTAAAAAGTATGCAGCATATTGCCAATTTTTAAAAGGAGATTGCACATCCCACGAATATGTAGATCCAATGAATTGTAGAAAGCCTATACGCAAACCTGGAATGTAGAAAGCATGATCTGAATGCCCATAGACAATAACTATCTACATACATAGTATTTTTCAATGAACACATTATCTGAGAATACTCCATAATCCTTTTTCTAACCACCTGGATTACTCTTTGGCACCTCCATGTTACTGAGGCTTTATTTTTTCAACTATTTTATTTTCTAAGAAAATTTTACACATGCCTTTTAGGGCATTCTTGGGAATTATGTGATAAGTTATTGATATCTGATACTTCTCTTTGCACTGTCAAAATTTTCAGTTAATTGATTACAAAATTATGTTTACCATAATATAAACCTAAACATTTAAAAGTTAAATGGATTAGGGAATCAAGCATCCAAGAAGGGACACAAGAATGACTATTGAAATCACACTTTAGATGCCAGGTCTAATGACTTTAAAACTCAGGAATAGCACAAATCTGACATAGATTATTCAGGCTTTTATTATCCCAAATGTAGACTAATCTTGTCCCATTCTCCATATTGTTTTTCCACCTATGATAACTGTATGTATTACATTTAGTAACTTTTAAAGTCAGTTTTCACAAATAATGTCTTTCTATATGCACTTTTTTCTGTAGAATTGACCTTGATAGTAAGCATTATTGTACAGATTTGGTTTCAGATGCAAATTATGAAGAGTGAAGATTTTGATATATAGAATACAGAATAACAGATTGGGAAGGGACCTTGAAGGTCTTCTAGTCCAGCCCCCTGCTCAAGCACTATACTATTTCAGACAAATGGTTCATATACATTTGGGAATTTATCAGTAAATTATGAATTGATAGAATCTCTGCAGTCAACATGCCTAAAAAGAATTAAACCCATTCAGTGCAGATAATTTTAGTAACAGCTTGTCAGCCAAGATTTTAACAAAATGAAAATCTACATTTCTGCCACAGCTTAAAACCAGTGTTTTTCTTTTTGTCCTGTTCCTTTCTGTCCTGTTCCTTAAAGCTCCCAAGGAAGGAATACTGAATAAAATATTAAAGTATTAATAAAGTATTAATAAAGTGGGCCTTATTCAGGATGACGTGGAAGCTTACCGCAAGGAGGTTGAAGGGTTGGTGAACTGGTGTAAGGAAAACAGCCTAGTTTTAAATACCAGAAAAAAATCAAAGAGATCATTGTTGATTTCAGAAAAGGCAGGCACAGCCACACTTCTCTGTGCATAAATGATTCACCTGTGGAGACGGTTACCAGCATCAAACTCCTGGGTGTGCAGCTAACGAGTAGGTTGACTTGGTCGCTCAACAGTGAGAAACTGGTGAAGCGGGCACAGCAGCGCCTGCATTTTCTGCACCGCATGAGAAAAGCACATCTTCCTTCCCCTGTCCTGACCACTTTCTACAGGAGGACAATCGAGAGCATCCTGTCATACAGCATCACAGTCTGGTTTGGAGGCATCACTGCTTCAGACAGGAAGAGAGTGGTGAGAATGGCCGAAAAGATCATTGGCAGTTCCCTCCCTCTCATCCAGGACATAGCACAGAAGCGCTGCTTGTAGTATCTGGGATACTACACATCCTCTTCATGATCTGTTTTCCTTGTTACCTTCTGGGAGGAGGGGGCTTCGTGGTATCCGAAGCAGAACATCCAGATTCAGCCAGAGTTTCATTCCATACAGCGAACTTGCGAACTCTCAAGCTTCCTCCTGCCGTTATATATTCAAGATGGACAATATTTAATATTTATTTGCTACGTATATGTAGGGATGTGGGTCTATACATATGTTGTTCATAGTATGTTTAGGTGTGTGTCATGTATGTATTTCACTTTGAGAGTGGGCAACTAAATTTCATTTTTGATGTGTGCCATCATGCCCACAGTATAAAAATGACAATAAAGGTTATCTTATCTTACTTCTGTTTGATTCAGTGGACTTTTATCTTCCTGTTTGACAAGTACCTTTAATCCTTACCTATGGCAATAATTGAAAACCATAACTCTATATGACATGCTAGATTCCTACCAGGTAGCTCACTTCAGTTGTTTACAGGCTTTTTCTGATCTTTCATTCTTAGAAATATCCAAAATCAAACTGCAGCTTCAGGCTTTGCATCTGCTGATCATGCTCCTTCCCAATGCTAGTCGTGATGCAGCCAAGGTAGGCATATTGTTCAATAGGGTTTGATATCAGTCTACCTTTGATAATGTTCCCAAGATCCAATAATAAATGCACTAAATAAAATTCCCCAAAGTCCTCAACAAACCTGCCAACTTTCTTGTTCTTAGGCAATTTCCTCATTTTGGAAGCTCTCAGCTTCCACAACTCCCAGCTCATTTCTACATAAAGCTCTTTTTGAAGTGAAAAGACTAGCAGAGTTGTATCTATGATTTATGGAGCACCAAACCTTTTATCTGACTACTCAGGAAAAATGCTTTAGAAATGTACTTAATGAGGCTGAGTGAAACTTCGGTTTTTCAAATCAAATGGACTTATTAAGTTGAATTGACTTGATCTTGGGTGATGCACACAACTTAGTAGGTAGGTAGGCAACCTTGGCACTGGCACATGCCCACCGAATTGAATAATTTATACAATTGAAATGATACACAACTTGGATCATCTTGTGGGATGAGTGCCACATTTATGGATAAAAGATAATCATTGGTTTTCAAATTGGCAGAAAAACAGAATTAAAATATTTTAAATATATAGTGTTATAGTAATTATTATATACAGTGATTAGATGTTTTGTGGAAAATATAGCCTAGTATTATTTAAATCCATGGAAAGAATTCTTTTTTTTTTTTTTTTACAAAATGCAATTACTGTAATAGTAGTGTTTATCAATAAATAGCAGTGATTTTATTGTTTTTTATTTAGGCCCTTCTACAGTTTTTGAAGAAGGTAGTTGCTAATGAAAATAAAAATAAAATGACTTTATGGAACGTATCCATGATTGTTGCCCCAAACCTCTTCATCTACAAAGGCAAACATGCCAATCAAGAAGAGATGCTAGCAGCAGCCACTACTGCTCATGTTGTAAGGCTTTTGATTAAATACCAAGATATCCTATGGATTGTAAGTAATGGTTTCAATTTTACTGTTAAATAGTATTGGCATTTTTTCTTGCAGAGATCTTCCTTTTATCTGGATCTTAAAATATCTAGAAACTGTAGCCATGTAAAGCTAGCTGTCTTGCAAGATAAAACTGATATTTATTTGTGTTTAAATTAGGTGTTTATTCTGGTACAATAAAGTCATACCTTCCCAAGCACCAGTAGTAAGCTTTTTCCATGTATTTAGAAGTTACAAGAATCTGTAAGGAGTACTGATTAAATAATATCACATTTATAACTCACTGATTCCTGTATTGTCATTTTCATACTCTTTATCCATGACAGTTTTCGTAAATGGTGTAGACTCAAATAAAATCTGATTTGTGTAGCCGTGAAAACAGTAGGCACCAAGATGAGAAGGCATATATGTTTACATGCTGTGAAAGTACTTGTAAAATGGTGGTTCTGGAACTATAGAATTGGTTTTTTTTCTCATTCATTTGTGTCCGGTTCTTGGAGACTGCCTGGACAATTCCTTGCAGTTTTCTTAACAAGAGTTTTCAGAAGTGGTTTTCCATTGCCTCCTTTCTAGAGCTGAAAGAAAGTGACTGGCCCAAGGTCACCCAGCTGGCTTTGTGCCCAAGGTGGACCATTTCACCATGTCACACTTTGCTATTTTCAGCACAAAAGTCCATAAGAGGTTTCCAGTCTTTTATAAAAGTGCTTATTCATATTCAGTATTTTTAGAAGCATTATAATACTAACATATAATTTGAAAAACATAAATAACATACAGACAAAGTGTTTATATGGAAAAGAACTTACTCGATGAAAAATAGAATTGTATTGAAAACTTTTTTTCCTCATCTCTAATATAGTTTATGGTGATTTCTGTCTGGAACAAGACTAGAATGTAGTTTGGGGAGAGAATTCAAAAATTGTATCAATGGATGACAAAGCACATTAGCCTTCAGGAAAAATACGGATGTAGATACAATACTTTAGAAAATACCATTATGATTCTGATGACACTCATAAAATCATTTGTCATGTAAACTTATCTCTTTTTTATTTTTCTGTGTAGGTCCCAACATTTCTGATTACTCAAGTGAGAAAAATGAATGAGGCTGCAATGAACAATACTAAAAAACAACTCATGTTTGACAAGGGTGTAAGAAAACTATTGAGAAGGAAAACTATGGACCGGGAGAGACCAGAAAGAACAGAGGTGGTTATTTTATTAAGAAAGTAAATTTTCTTAATTAAACAAACCAGCATAGATTCCAAATAATGTGCAATAAAATAAATGAAATAATATAATGGGATCCAGAGCAACATAATTAGTCTTTTAGAATGAATCCAAGTGCTAGATTGGGTTACAATGCCGAGATACCAAGGTTTTATATTTGTACATACACTTATTTATTTAGAAGTGCTAATACTATCTATATTAGTTTTATTTAAAGAATAAAACTTAATTAAAGACAGCTCAGTGAAGAGCAGTTAGTTCAATGGTTGCCTTTTTAGGGATTTGCCTTTTGTTTTTTTTAAGCAATGCCTCTTTACTTCAGAATTATATTTGTTACTGGAGTTTATTTTTTAGGAAGTGGGTATAGTATTCTGCTATAAATGAAGTAGCTATTTACCATGCACTATTTAGACAGCTCCAGTGGATGGAGTCTCTCTGTTTATGAATGAACATTTCATAGATGATAACGTTAGAATTTATTACCAAACACCAAGGCTTTAAATCTGATGTGCCGATTGACAGAAGATACTTCCTTCCATAGTAGGAGATGAAACTTATAGTGCTTGGATCAGTAAACTAAATGTTTATCAATTTAGCATAAATGTTAGTTTTCAGAAGTTCTAAATTAATTAAGTTCTTAATTAAACTGTTAAATAGTTGCTATTTTCTTGCAGTGGCACTAATTGTGTTAAGGACTGGAAGCAAGCATTACAAATTGAATTATTCTGATACTTTTGAAAAAAGAATTGGACATCTGTAGGAACCTAGTGTAAGGCCAGTCAAATTGTGTTTGCAACTATCTTTTCAACCAGCAGTTTACTTTAGTATTAACTTCAACAATAAAATTACTGCCTTTTTTGTGGCATTAAACTACATTTTATATATCATTACCGGTATATTATGTGAGTAGAGTAATAATGCTTCAGGGGACAGGGGACTTCCTAGCTGATTCAGGAATACTCAAACTGTTCACAATGAATCTGTGCTATGCTGTTTACACAGTGTGCTAAGACATATGGTCTTTGCACATTGTGTAAATGGTCAATATACCATTTGGTCAATATACAACTGGAAAATATCCAGCAATTATTTATTTTCTAAAGTTAATTGTTAACTTATGGTCACTAGTCTCTTGCAATCAAGGTTACATAAATCTTATATAATGACAAATATAGTTGGTTAAAGATGTTTCAAGCACATGCATATCTATTGAGATCCCAAATTAAAATTTGTACATATATAGCAGAGTCTTTGACATCTTGTATGTAAGGCTGTTGCATTTCAAAGAATGTTACTGTGTCCCTTATAGTTATATAAACCAATTCTTTCTTGCATTTATAATAATTTACTGTGTTGCTATGCCCTTGCTTCAATATAAGAGCCTGCAATAACACTGTAATATAATACCTATAGATACAAATCCTGAAATTTTCTTGATTAGGTCTCTTGATTTTTTTCCTACAGTTGCAAACACCAAAGGATTATTTAAAGCCCCCCTGCAAGAAGAAAATGCACTTGCTATGGTCCTCCTAGGCAAATTGAGACAACTCAGCGTGGCCAGCTGGGGACAGTCCCTTCGCCACTGCCAAGTCCCCTCTGACAACTCACTGCCACCAGATCATTGCAGGATAACTTAACATGAGCAAGTCACTACAGGGACAATTTGCTGGGTTTAAAGATCCCCATCCTTCCCCACTGCTACCAACGCTGTGCGTTCTGCCCACTTGCTTGCTCATCCGCCACCTGGCCACTCCTCTGGCTCTCCATCTGGGTTCAAACAGCAAATTGTCCCCCAGTGAATTGCCCATGTTGAGTTGTCCTGCAATGACTTGGCAGAGGGGACTTGGAGGTGGTGATGGGGCTGCCCTCAGTTGGCTAAACCAAGTTGTCTTAGACCCCCTCATAGGCTTTCATTCACTTGGACCGCTTCTCGATTTAGACTTACTTCTTTTCAATCCTTTCTTTAGTTTCAGAGTCCTTTCACCTTCCTTTTTTATATGACACTACAGAAATACAGCTAGTGTGGGGGAAAAGGTTTGCAGACTGATACATAATTATTTGGCAAAGTTGATTTCAGGTTAGAGTTTAGTGAGAGTGCATTTTTACATTTTCTGTGACTTTTTTGGAAAAAAACCCTATGCTTTAATTTACATCTCAACCATTCTTCTAGGTAATCTTTGAATGGTAAGAAATTTAGCAGTGGTGGCAGTGATTCAGAGACAGAGGGGAGCTTTTTCACCCACTTGTGTCCTCTGCATCCCAACAAAATCTCCATATATGTTTTTAAGAGGTACAGCAGCTGTCCCCTTAAAACCCTGGAAGTGTGAAAATGCTATGTGAAAATGTTCTGCAGTGAAAATGTTCTACCTTTGCTATTTTATCTCTTCCTCTGCAGCCTTTTTCTCAGAGTTGGTCTTTTCTGAAAGTAAAGACCAGGGATTGGCTTTATACAGGAGAGAAAGTTGCCATAAAGAAAAGGAGGCATGAAAATGCAATTCAGGATATAGCATAGTGGTTTGCAATTGTACTATAATTAATATATATATATATATATTGTTTGCTAAATTATTGTTTGTTCCTCTTTTTGTAGTCAGATATACCTGAAGGTGTGATAAGAGTCCATGCTCCACTGCATTCAAAGGTTTCTATGGCAATTCAACCAAATAATCAAACAAAAGCCAAAGATATTGTGGCACGATTTTACTGTGAAAACAGGCAAGTAAAAGCAGAACAATGGGACAGTAGCCCAGATTCAAGGTTCATTGTTAAAGTAGGCTTTACCTGGCTTAAGAAATAAAGTTTTAACTTGTATTTGACTTTAATCAATATGTGAGGTTAAGATGGGCCATGCTTAACGGAAAGCATCCATGTGATTACTCTGCCAGAGCATTAATCTACTGCTTCATTCATTTGTTCATGTCACAATTTCCAAGTTTACTAACTTTAGGAACTGAGCTGCAAGCCAAGAATCAAAAGGAAAACAAAAAAGGAATTGCTCCAGTATGAGCTGAAGCCAAGTGTTACACAAATGAGACCCATTCACCAGTGTTTCCCCCCCCCCACAAACTGCTCATATTAAAATGAATGAATCTAAAAATTACAACAAGCTGGTTTTAATTATAGTTTCTCTGGCTCAGCTAAGGGAATTAGTTTTGTGCTGGCCCTCTGAACAGCATTTCCTCTCAACAGGCAGAGCAATTAAGAGAAAACCCATGGTTCTTAAAATGCCATTTGAGAAGTTCCATTAGGTGTTCATAGACAAGATGGCAGGTAGACAATTTTCATGATTTTTTTTTTATGGCTTTACACCTTCACTTTTTCTTTCCCACTGTCCGTTGTTTCCCACTTTTCATGAGAGCTGAAAAAATTTACAAGTTCCAATTCTAGCATAATTTCCCTCCATTCAAGCATATATTAGCAGGGATTTGGGTCCATAAATCACTGCACCTTCCTTATTGCCATCAGTGTTCCATTGGCAGAAGAGTGCTGAAAGTTGAGCTTTCTTTTGATGCAAGAAAGGAAGTCTATGAAGTTGGGTATCTCCTCTAACAATGAGAAAGAGTTCCAGTATGTCCTACAGTTCTTTGTAATCGAAGAGAAAAATGTGTATTTCCAATATATGTGCCAAACAATTGCATTTATTTACTGAGAATTAAACTATCTAATTTAACGTAGTGAACCTTGAAAAAAAATGTACTGCTAGAATTTGCATTATATTACATTCACTCCACCAGAAATGCTTGACATAAATCAGCACAGAATTTGGTAAATGGTAAAATGGTAGCTAATGGTAAAATGTAGTTAGCCAGAATCATGATGGAGCTGGGAGGTCTATGAATCAATCAGATTATGAAATAAATATGATGAAGCTAGGTACAGTATACTGTTGATTCTTCACAGAAGACTTCAAGTTAAATTTGTAGCAGCAATCTCAAATTTTATATAGAAACGCTACAATAACATAATAGTTAATTCAATTAAATGGTTCTATACAAAAAATAACAGATGTAATTCTTTCCAGACGCTTTTAGGTTCTACTGAATATTAGCCCCAGACAACATAGTGAGAGGTTAAATTCCAGAGTTAATCAGAAACCTACCTCTTTGCTACCAGAATGCTTTGTTTTTCTATTCTTAGACCTGGATCATCAGAAGAATTCAAAATGCCAGTCCAAAGTTTATATGAAATTGGAGGAAATATAGGCAAGTTCTTATTTAAACCTCAGTAATAGCAACTATGTCCTTGATGCTACCTTTGTACGTGCAGCCGGGAAGAATACACAGCAAGTATGATAGGGCTACATTACTACTTCTTTTAGTACCTAATCCATTTATCGTTGTAAAGCAAGATATGAATATGGGAACTCACTAAGGTGAATATTCTGCATGTCTTAATTGGTTTCCTGCATAAGTGCCATGTACCAAGTGCTTATTTCAATACTGTAAATTAGAGCATCTCAGAGGAAGTAAAATGGATTTACTAAGTGATCTTAGGACATGATGTAATCTGAAAAAAAACACTCACCATAATTGTTTTTTTTAATTTAGAATTAAACTTTTTTCAATATGAAAGGCAGTGAGCCAGCTAGCTGCTCAGTCTTAAGATAGAAGGTCAAGTAATCTGTCCTCTAGGTTGGCAACTGCAGCATTTTCTGTCTACACACTAATTTTTACACAGTTGGTGTATAGAATTGTCATATATGTTACTCAAAGCCTAAGATTCTCATGACATCCTACTTTCAACACAAAGGCCAAACATTACATGAGTTCTCCAAAAGGGGTGGCTGCTTTAATATTTCAAGAAGGGGCACCACACTGGTCCCAAATGCTTTGCGTAACCCTAAAGCGTAAGGATTTTCTTAAAGGTTATTTTTTTTTAACAGCTGATATTTCTTTCAGGAGAACACTGTTTGGATCCAGATGCATATATGCTGGATGTGTACCGTGCCAATCCTCAAGCAGAGTGGGTAATTAAAGAAAAAAGAAGTTCAACATTTTAAAGACCTATTGGTAGAGTGTTTGGGGACAGTGCAAAAGTCTTCCCATCAGGAGCCATGTTGCTATAATGAAGCCAAAGCAGATGTACCTTGTATCTTTTAAACATAAACTATGCCCTTTATCATCAAGTATTATAGAACCTGAGAACTTCAATTAATAGTTTGTTATATTAATAATAATTTATTTTTAGTGAATACTTTTTTACTGGTTTTATTGGTACAGTTGATGCGGTTAAAGAATACAATTTGAAATGTATGTCAACAGAAAAGAATGGGGTTTCCCCCCCCCCCAGTGCCACTGAAAAGGGAGTTGTTCAGTAGCATCTGAAGACCAGGAATGACATTTAATAGAAAGGTTCTCAATGTAAAGGGGATAGAATTTTTTAAAACAGGAAATAAGGGCAGTTGGGCAGAATGCTATGACAACTCTTTCCTGTTCAAAAACAATTTTTTATTGTGAAATATTATTACAACATATGTGACTCAGTTTCTATTGCTAGCTACCAGTGAGAATGAAAACTACTGTGTAAAGTATATTTAGTGTATTGTATATGAATATAAATAGTATATACAATTGCAAATTATCATTTTTCTGACTTTGCCAATTGTTGTACAGCTTAAACAATTTAATAGACAATATACATATTTTGTATGGTATACCAATGATAAACCTACATACCAACCACTTTGAATCCCCCCCCATATGTACAAAAATGTAAGTGTAGTTAGATACTTCACAAAAAGTTCTTTTAAAATGTCCATACCATATTCATCCAGGAAGTTTGTTTAGTGACCATTTGAACTTCCAATGACACTGAAAAAAGTGACATAAGTCCATTTTTCACACTTACGACCATTGCAGCATCCCCAGGGTCACGTGATCAAAATTCAGACTCTTGGCAACTGAGTCCTATTTATGACGGTCGCAGTGTCCCGGGGTCATGTGATCCGGTTTTGCGACCCTCTGACAACAAAGTCAATGTGGAAGCCATATTGACTTAATAATTGTGCTACTAACTTAACTGTAGTAATTCACTTAAGGTTGTAAAATGAGACAAAATTCACCTAACAACTGCTCACTTAGAAACAGAAATTTTGGCCTCAGTTGTGTAAGTCGAGGCTTGCCTGTAGTTGTTTTGCAAGTACCAGTTAAGAGACTTATTTGTCTTCTTTGTCCAAAACATATTTTCTTATTATTTCTTTTGCTTGATGTTTGAAATACATTATGGAAAATGATTTCTTTTTGAAGTTTACATAAAATATAACTCTTGATTAAATCAATGCCTATTAAAGCTGAGTGTCCTTTAAATGTTGTACATGCTCACATAGGAGAAAACATATGGAAGTGGTGTGACAGCAAGATGGGTGGTGAGAAAAGGAGTAAATAAATAAAAATAAAATAAATATTAGTAAAAATACTCTACTGATAAAATGGTAAATACCCATTTTGAAGGGAAGCAGCAAACCTTGACTGAGTGAATTTGCCAAAGAACAGATTCACTTCATTATTTTAGGCAAAGACCATAGTTGCCTGACATTCAGATGAAACTTAAAGCTAGTATTTTGTCCATTAAATCTGAATTATTTCAAAATGAGGCCAGGTCAATGGTGTTGTGGTACAGATCATGTGTTCTTGCATTGTTCCTTTATTATATCAATTCTTACCAAAGGAATTGTATATCATTTTCACGCTCCTATTAATGTTGAGTACTTTTAAGCCCAATGGTTTCAACTGAAAAATTGAGAAGGTGCTTAAAACATTTTTGCCTTTAAAACAAATGGAACTTTAAAAACTTGTCTGCATGACAAAATAGGACTCACTCATCTCCCCTCCCAGTCAATTGACACACTTTGTGGCATTACATGATCTCAGACGATCTTGTCAATCATTCAGCAGCCGTGATTCCAGATCATGGCAAAGCAGATGGGGCACCTCACTTTCCAAGCTTTCCTGCTACAATTATGGTTGGTACAATTATGCATCATTCCACCCAACTCTTTCCCATTTTAACTGCCTCTGGCTGTGAATAGCAAAATGATCACAGACAAAATGTGGAGAAGCCAGTTATGCAGGCATCTGGAAGATTTCATCCCAATGAAGGACAACGGCAAGGCAGTTTACCCTCTGGCAAATAGTTCGCATAATACTGTGGGAGTTGATAAATCAGGAAAATTAGTTTAGCCCCATCAAGACCAGATTGGCTTTGAATATTTCTTGGTTAATTGGATCAATCAAGTAGCTCCAGCTTAGAGTTTGTATTCAACCCACGCCTATGATCTAGTTAAGTATGTTTGCAAACTGTGTCAAAATTTCTTAATATTTAGTAGATCATATTGTATTTCTCAATGAACTAAAAGTAATCTTGAGCAAATGAAAACACACTGTAAAAGGCAGAAATTTCTGATGTAGTTCAAGGGATATATGTCTACTGCATGAAGTTACTTTTATATTTTTGTTATATTTTAATAACTGTAATTAACCAGGCTCATAATTCTTATAAACCACAAAACAGAATTTAAGCATATCTAACTAATTTATTTACACAGGTGGCTCAGTGAAATGTGGGAATCTTGGAAAATAGTCTATAGGCTATAAAAGAAGAAATATAAATTCCTTTGGAATGATACATATTTGAGCTACAGTAACTCAGAGGATCATTCAGATATAACATTTTCTAGGTTGTACATCACGCAATCAGTATCTTACAATGTTATTTAAAAATATGTAGTTATATCCACCTGAGTAGTGTATAGAGGAAGTGCAAGTAGTCCTCAAGTTGCCTATGATGGCAATTGGGACCGGAATTTCCATCACTAAGGGATGTGGTTGTAGAGTGTGGCCACATCACTTAGCAACCTCAATCCCTGCAGTACTTGTTGCCATTGACTGATTGCCATGGTGATTAGGCAAGACAACTTCCTGCTGGCTTCCCATAACTAAAATCAGTGGGAAAGAGGCAGGAAGTTGCAAGTCCCAGGCCTGAAGGCAGTTAAGTGGTTGCTGCTGGATGGGGGAGGGAGTAAGGGTGTGAGGGAGGGTCACGGAGGCTGTGCAAAAGCATAGCACAAGTTGTAGGGGGCACGCAGGGATGTTCCAGAAGTGCTACGCAAGTGGGAGATGAGGCATGAGGGTGTGGGTGATGTGCGAAAGGCACCATGCAAGTTGAGAGGTTGATGCATGAGAGGTGTAGCTTGGGGAGAGTGCAAAGGGTGTGCGAGAGGAGCAGCACAGGCAGGGTGAATGAGGGTACAAAAATGGCCAGCATGGTACAGGCAATCTTCTCTGCTGGCTTCCATTTTGACTTTCTGCAGAAGCTGGCTGGAAGCTTGCAAATGGTAATTAAGTGATCTCAGGGTGCTTGGTAACCAATCATATGAACAAGTTGCCAAGCACCCAGTTAGCGATGATGTGACAACAGGGATGCTGGGACAGCCAGAAGTCTGAGGATAAACACCATTCATTCAGTGCTGTTGTAACTTCGAATGTTCGCTGAACAAATGGTCGCACGCCAAGGAGTACATGTTTTTAAAATGATTTGGAGAGTCAAACTTTTTATTGTATTATTCGTTTAAGGCAGACATCTACAAAGTATTATTTCCTAATCAGTTGCAACATTCCATGTTCTATCAAATACATAAGGGAGACATTCTATGCAGAGATTTATTTCCTTGCTTTTTCTTCTTTTCTGCCTCTGTCTTTTATATCCTACAGCTAAAATATTCCTGAAATGAGGAAAGTGAAGGGAAGCATATGAAACACTGAAGCCAGCCTTTTGACTATTGGCTAACAAAGTGAAGTATGATACTCGCAGGCATACAGAGTAGATGTCAGTCTGAAGGTAGTAAATAGGCCAAATTTTCTAGTTGCTTTGAAAAGTTTCACTCAAATCAATATTGTCCCTAATGTTCTGGATGTTTGCTCTTCTAAACTGCTGAAACTACCATCACAGTTTAGGACTACTCATTCACCCCTGAGGTTCTTGTGTCTTTTCAAGGCTAAATCTGGAAGTTAGCCAATGTTAAGTAGGCGGAATAAAATCTAAATATACTTTGTGAAAAATACAGAGGTGCTCACTATTTTATTGTTGTTCTATTCAAAAGCAATATAAAGTGAATGTAAAAAATGTATTCCCTTTAAAATACTTCTCTAGTAACAGCACTCTGCTGAGTCAAGTAGTTTAATGCTTGTTTCCATTGCCTATTTTTCATAGTTTGAAAAATACGTTTTAGAATTAAGCTATATTTGTTCCTTATATTTGTTCCTTATATTTGTGCCAGAAATACGACTGTACTAAGATTCGATAAGTTACTCTTCATACATAGAAAAATATAGTTTAGACTATTGTTTAGTCTTCTCCCTTATGTGATATCTTTTTGTGTAGATGACTTTTTTGCAGAGCAACATTCAAACATGTACTGTACCCCACGCTTACTAATACAGTAGTACAGGCCATCTTTTGAGATTAAGTATTTCAAACTGATCTGCAAAATCTTATCTAGAAGAATAGAGAATTAGTGCAACCCAGTGTTAATGCCTATCATACAATATAGAGAGCAGTCCTACAAACAGTAAACAAATGTTTTGTAATTGGAACAAATTAGATCTGCTCAAAGAACAGTTACTAGCACGATTCAAGCATTTTATATTGCAATGAAACAAAACTTCAGAATTTTTTGTGTGTTATGCCTTAAGAGAATAGCAGATTTAAACAAGGAACAACCACAAAATTAGGTGCAGTTAGGATTTATGCTGTGGGGAGAAAAAAGCAAATAGGATGATTTAAAGAAGATTTTAAAAAATTAACTCGGACCACAAATAATTTAACTGCAAAAATACAGTCCTCTGAACATGACCTTGAGGCTTCTTCCAAATGCACATGTGGAGTGCACAATTTTTGCTTTTATCATCTTGCCTGCAAACAAAACAGCAGTTGACAAACAACCCAAGCATACTTTTGCACATAGCCATCTGTCTAAAAAAGGAAGAAACAGTGCAGAGAACATACATGGGCATATATACATACAAGACACAAACTTTCTTAAAAGTTAAATCACTTTACTCTCCCTGGGTTTTGTGGACACATGCATACAGTTTCCTTAGCAACAATAGCAAAATAGCCTGTGTCTCTTTGTCTTGGATATGTTTTTAATCTAGTTTATGGCCTTGGGATCCTGGTGGTCTCTAGTTGAAACATTAGCCAGGCCTGGTGTTCCCTAATGTTCGAGCCCAGAGTTAAGCATGCAAACAATTAAAACCATAATAAATATATTGATTGGGCAGTCAACATTCCCTTTCTTGTTCTAAAACAGTTCTAAAAGTATGAATAACTTTTTTCTTAAAGCATTCTCCAAATCTGCAGCTCTGGAAGAACATAACATTAAGGCCTAAGCAGTAAAAAAAGAACATGAAACAAAATGGCTGTATTTTGCCCCAAAATGAGAACAAAACTCAGCTTTGTTTCCAACTTCAGAACATTTTGCAGTCTTAGTAGAAAATAAGCTATTGCCCCTAAAACATATGTTCTGCATCCAGTTTTTAAACTTTCAAATTTCAGCTGAATCACTTTTGTATGCAAATTAAGACTATGGAAAAAAAAATGAATCTGGTATGTTTGATTTGGTTCAGGTTTTTTTCCCCTTAAAAGTTAAAAGTTAATTCCATTCAATTACTGCATCTAGTTACAAATTTTTAAGACATACATATGAAAAATAATTAATATATTGTTATGTATACAATTCTGTTACATTTTTGTAATTCTGGGCTGATAACAAAATTAGGAAAACATGCAAACACTTGTATATAACTATTCCAATTTATACCACTCATTAATCTCTTCCCCAATGCTAAATATCAGTGATAGCATCAATAAAGATTTCATCAGTAGTTACCTGTGTTTTGCAAAATGTGTTAGAATGTGTCTGAGGTTAGCCTTCTATTTTAACTGCACCAATTTTAGCAGTAATTAGGGATAAAAGAAAGTTATGAGCAAAATTTATTGAAAATGAGCTTTCTACTAATTTGTTTTCATCTTTAAATGTTTTACTTTTCATACTTAAAATCCACACACGACTTGAAAGAATATGTTTTATTGAGTAGGGCCTTATATTACATATTTACTACAAATGGACCCATCTACACCAAAGTAATTAAGGTCAAGTAATTAATTATTGTAAATGTTGGTTTTAAAAAGTTTTCACCACCCATAAAAAACAGACTCAGCTTATGCAGTTAATTTTTTTTATTTTAAAAAATGTGTAGTTGTTCTAGCTCAACATATTTTTCTTGAGCTGGAAAATAGGATGGAAATCACTGAAATCAGCATCATTAAAAGCATTTCTTTTTCATTAAGAGTTGATAGACAAAGCCTCTTAAAATGGAACATTTTTCTTCCCATTTAGTAGTCAGGCTGCAGGGCAGGAATGTGGAAAAACTCCACGCAGGTCAAAGGCTTCACTGAAGTCCAAGAAATCTACTTGCTGAGTTTTAATCAGCCTAAAGTTTCTCAAACAGCCTTGGAAGGAATTCTTAGTGGACAAGCAATTTTGTTTTATGTCAGCTAGAAAACAAAATGAAAAAATATAAGACACATGTTTACTGTGTGAATGAGACTGAATTTACATCTCGGAAGCAGTATTTGAAGATACATTGCCAAGTTTCAATCAGCCTAATTTGCATAAGGCAGCTTCATGCAATAAAGGGAACCCTGCTGATCATAAAATCAGTGAATAAAAATGCTGGTCTGTGACCATAACAGTAATCATTATATAATTATTAAATCAATGAATAAATAGTTCTTAAGGGCTAGATGCATGTCTGAGCCCAGAATTGTGTTCAGACAGATTCTCTGGGGGCTTGAGGTATAAAGCTGTAAGAAAAGGAACAAAACAGCAACTAGAACATTTAGGTAAATGGACACTGGTGTTTTAATACTCTTCATATTTCAGAGAACTATCTTTATATGGCTTAGTATTTTTACTAAGTATTTTACTTAGTTACTCAGACAAATATACAACAAGTCAAGATTTTTTTTCATGCTTTGTTTTGAATGTGAATAAAATTACATACCCGGATACCCTCCAATATAAATGGGGTTATTTGTATCTGCAGAGGTTGAATGAACATGTGGATTATCCATCTGAACTACATTTCCATCGACTATTAGAGCAATATGATGCTTGTTTTTCTTAGCCTGCACTTTATGCCACTGTCCATCACACAGATTAGACATTCCTTTGGGTTCATAAGAAGCTATTATTCTACCAGCTCCATTGTTGACATTGAATAAAATCTATAAAAACAAAATAAATCATAACCGAACAGCAAAATGGAGTAAAGATAAAGATAATAATAATAATAATCTTTATTGATTAGCCCTTGAGCCATATCAAAGTGCAAAGTTCCAATAACAAATCATTACCAAAGTCTAAAATGGAGTAAAGATAGAAGATGGTTCTGTTTACTCAATACATTTTTAGAACTGCTATGAGTGGTTAATTATTAAATCAATATTCATTTAATAGGACTTTATTAGCTTGCATTTTGCCAAGACACAACTAATTCAATGTACCTTATTTCAATTTCAATTCATTACAGTCATTTCTCCTTCTCCTCCTCCTCCTCCTCCTCCTCCACCACCACCACCACCCTGATAACTTATGATATGTACATTTCTAAGTACAATGGTAAAGCACAGATAAGGTTTAAGTATATGTACTAACTATGTATCTTCCCTGAGAACTTTAATGTTAGATTTTGCTGTTCAGCAATTGATTAAAATGGTTAATTATACTTTGGAACAAGTTTCATAATAAAGTGATTCTGAAAAGGGGAAATTGGGGGGGGGGGGTCCCTTTCATACTATAGGGAATGGTGATATCTTGGTATATGTAGGGATGATTATTTTTGGAGTATGGTCCATGCAAAAATAAATATAAAAATCTTTTTCAAATAACAATTCCTAATTTTGGTCTGGGAGCACTTTGTTGTTTTTTTCATGATTTTTTTCTTTTAACCACTGAACTTTTCGCTCAAGCCAAGATTATAAAGATATTTCTAAAATCATAGGCATTTGTCTTCAAACTGATTTTTTTTATTATTTCATCTATTTCATAATTTTATTTCAGAGCTCTTTCACATCACCAATGGAACTGTTTCTTCTAGTATAACATTTCTGTTTTCCTATATGTATAATATGTATAAATAGCAAATTGTAATTGGTTTAATAATCTAAAGCTAGTTTTCAGAATAAAAAAAATTATTGCTGTAGAAAAACAGATACGTTTCACAGCGATCATGAAAACATATTAATTCCAGAAACATTATTATATATTAATAATTACCACACCTTTTCTTTCAAAAAATGCACATGCGACTTCCTTATATCTATTTAGATCCACCAATTTAGGTACCATTTAAGATTTATTAGGATAAATGTATTGCAGTAAATCCATTTGAAAACCTACCTTTCCACTTACTATCTCCAGCCCAATAGCATCTATTTTAGCACTGATTCCAAGAAGAACTCCATTCATAACATTCGTACGGAATTCAAATGTAATGTTAACTTCAGATCTGACTTTGTAGCCCTCCCTAACTACAAAAAGAGAGAATGAAATAACAAAGTTAAATAACTGTTGTATACAACTGACATTATTATCGATACAAAGAATTTTGAAAAAAAAGTTTAGAATACATCACTTTTGTTTATTTAACAATATATTGTTTTGCATGCCCGATCCATATTAATTAAAAGTGTCCATATGTTGCATGGACACCATAAATCTAATCTATTTTGGTTTGTGTTCCAATGCTTGCCTTTTCCTGCCCTAGAAGCCTGTCCAATGGAAATGCTTATCTTAATATATCACAAATAGTTCTGCTGGGAAAGGATCCTTACCAAGTTAACAGACCAGGAATCTCCTAATCATATGATCATTTGACCAAAACAACAATAAAGACATAAAGGATAAATGTAAATGAAAAAATAAAATTAGAAAAACCACTAAAAATAAGAGCTTTAACCATCTGTAAAAAAATATACCAATCATAACTACCAACTTCAAAACTAAAGCTCTGTCTAAATAACACTTAGCAGTTTAGAAAAAGTGATAGGCCTCTATTCTAAAAACTCTCCTACTTATCTTTTGTACATGAAAGTTACTGTAAAAAACACAGCTATCTAAGTGGGAAAGTGTGCTCATTTTAAGTCTCTCCTTGAACGAAACAAGTGGGCTAGCTTTATTGGAAACAGAAGTCTGCAGTACAGAGATTTCCTTGTTCTTCAGTGAAGCCATTCTATTTCCGAGTAAGGGAAATTATATGATTCTTACCCACTTCCAGCAGCTACAATAAATCAGAATTGGAAATAAAAGAACAAGAGGAAAACATTTAATGTTTTTGGATATTTCCTATGTTTCACTTTACACTTATATGGGAGAGAGCAGGAATAAAACAATACTTTGCTTACCAAGAGCAGCAAAACCACTTCCATCAAAGTAAGTTCCTTTCTGGATCACAGCATAGCATTTATTCACAGCAAAGGTTGAGACCAGACTATCTAACTGCTTGCTATTAATGGTTACTTCACCAATGCATGCAGGAATACTGTGAGTAATCTGTGAAGACAATTTGGTACTGTAGTTACTCCTGTAGAACAGTGTTTCTCAATCTTAGCAACTTCAAGACTTGTGGAATTCAACTCCTAAAATTCCCCAGCCAGCATACTCATCTTAAAGTTGCCAAGGTTAAGAACCACTGCTATGGAAAATCTGTATTATACAGAGATACACAGAGATACATCATTCAGAGCCTTACTGCTTTAGAACTATAAATCATTGACAAATGCAGATATCTATTAGAGGAAGTCACTCAAACTTTGTGGTAAATGTACACATCATTTTAAATTGCTTTTTGTTTTCACAAAAAATCATTTTTGTCATTGGAATCAGGATCAGATAGGGAACAAAGAACTAAAGTCTCCTATCCCTCATAGGAAGGTCCAGGGCACACTAGTTATTATAGTCTTTTTTGCATATGTTTATACTGCTATAAATTAAAAATAACTTCACAGGAATATTTTTTAAAAAAACAAAAAACAGAATGGGACAGTGGTGGCGAACCTATGGCACGGGTGCCAGAGGCGGCACTCAGAGCCCTCTCTGTGGGCACGCACGCCATCGCCCCAGTCCTAGGCCTTCAGCTGGGTTTTATAAAACCTTTTCACTTTAGGCCTCTGCCGCAGTGTGCAAAAAAAAAAAAAAAGGTTCAATCAGTCAATTTCAACTTCTTTAGGGGAAAAAAAGATCTTGAAAAGTTGGAGTTGATTGATTGAACTTTTTAGTCCCACCCAGTCTTCCATTACCACCGCACCACGCCCACCCAATGGGCCACGCCCACCCAATGGGCCATGCCCACCCGGCACCCAACAATGCATAAGTGGGTTTTGGGTTGCAGTTTGGGCACTCGGTCTCTAAAAGGTTCGCCACCACTGGAATGGGAGATCTTAGATTCGGTGGCAGGGGGGAAGAGAACTGAACTAGAACAAATGCAGCAAGTACACATTTGCATTTTATGATGGAAATAAGATGGAATACAGAATATCTATGATCAGGGGTTAACCACCCAGCCAATTTTCTATGCTGTCCTCCTGACCCTGACCTGTTGCCCTGAGTCTTGCTGCCATCTAACTGGAACCCCCTGTGGGGAAAACAGATGCAGTCCAGGCAACAATACTTTTTTATGTTGTAAATCTGAATAGCTATTTGGAAGAAAAGAGAGGATTTAGGATAGAAAAATAACACAGGAAAAGTTTTAATTCTGCTCTTCTCCACAACCGCTGCTGAGATGAAAATCAGACTTACAAGTTATTTTATTTTTTAAAAAATGTTGGGAAATCCATCTGTTTTCCATCTTAAAATAGTCTCTTTCCATAGAGTGAAATTTAATACTGCTATTGTTATGGCTATGACCATGAGGCTGCTTATTATGGTCACTGGAGAAACTGAACATGCTGTTTCAGATACAGACATGTCTGATAACTTCTACAAAATTTAGTAAAAACAAACAAACAAACAGCCCTGTTATTTGAAGTAAAATGCAAACAGAGGAACTGGAATATTTCAGATCGAACGTGGATAAGTATAAAATACCAAAATACCATGTAAGAAAAAGAACCTATTATTAGCATTACCCAGAGTCAATTCACATATATTAAAAACAGAGTGAATTCATTTCTTGAATCACTCTGTTTGTTATCACTTAACAGCTGTTCCTATCCTTTCTATGAACCTTCCAAACAACTAATGACAACCAGAATTTACACTCTACAATTCTTTTTGCTAGAACTGATGTGAGCTTAATCTATATACAAAACAGAACACCCTACAAAAACTTCACATCATGGTCACAGAACCTCCTTGGAACAGCAGAACATTGATATGGAACATAGTCTGATATATTTGCATATCCAGCACACAAAGGATCAATAAGAAGGTAAAGTCCTTACATTTCTAATGTTCTTTGTGAGGTAGCCTAAGGGTAGACCCCCCAAGTAAAATTTCCCATCCACATCCAAGGTGCTTCCGTCACCTGAAACATTGACAGCTTCAGTTTCCTGCCCATCAACTATGATTACACCTTTCCTCTTTGCATAATCTGTTTGCACCTGTAAGATAAAATCCATTATTTGTGAGCAGTTATTGATAGTTAAGAAACATGCAACTAAGAATAGTATTCCATATATGTATCTGTGACCAGCAGAACTTTCTATTCTTGTTTCACAATTGTTTAGGGTTTTAAATACATCAACCAAATATGTCAAATGCAAAAACTATTGCGTGCCTAATGCAATATTTCCCCCCTTAGGTCCTAAATGTACCAAAATATTTCTGTATCTTGGCAGTTGAATAAAAGAATTTAATAAATGTACCGTATGCCATTGTCCATCACTGATCATTGCTTCATGAGAAACTACTGACTGCCCTTTTCCAAGATCGAATGAAAAACGGAGTTTTCCTTCTTGTAGTTGAAGGGCTGCATAATCAACTTGCTTCTGATGAGCTGTGTAGTATATTAGACCACTAGAAGCAAGGGTCCTGATTCTTAATTGGACAGAAAACCTACAAAATAAGATGTGGAATTGATCAAAGTTTGGACATTTCATTGCATCCCGTGAAGACCATCAAAAAGACTATCTTTCTTTTAAAGACAGAAAATAATGTTAAGTTGAATAACTATTCTAGGCTGGACTGTTGTGAGCTACCCAGAGTTGCTGAGAGTCAGGTGGCATGCAAGTTTAATAAATTGTTGTTGTCATTCAGACATGTTGAGGAGCCGTGGTGTCACAGTGATTAGAATGCAGTATTGCAGGCTAATTCAGCTCATTGCCAGGAGGTTGATCCTCACCCTTGACTTAGTCTTCCATCCTTCTGAGGTCAGGAAAATGAGGACTCAGATTGTTGGGGGCAATACACTGATTCTGTAAACTGCTTAGAGGGCTGTAGAGCACTGTGAAGTTAGAGGAAAATTCTCCTAACATTAACTGGATCAGTCATAAGTGAAACATACTTTCATTTTCTGAGTGTTACAGGATAGCATGATAGGTGAATAATTATTGTAGAAGAATACAGAAAGATAAAAAAAAATCTAGGAAGCCATTACCCATGAAGAAACCCACTGGAAAGAAAATAGAATAGGCAGAAACTAAGGAAAAGAAGTTATAGTAAACTGCACAATACTCCAATTTGCATTTAAAAAAATTGTCTATTGTAATGGGAAATAACTTTTTTTCTTTAAAATGCTATGAGAAAGATCAGTGACCTTTTTGGCTGTTTTTAAACAAAGTGTTTAATGCTAGTTTAAACTAGTTTATATAACATTTACTCTACATATGACTGACAGGGAACAATCTCAGTTATTCTAGAGTCTGCACAACACCCAATCTCTAACAGGCAGAAAACTACCCTACTATATGAATGTAGAAGCAGGAAAAGCATTTAAAGAAAAGAATGAAAAATAGATACTGGCTGTAGATAACCATATAGGAATGAATGGAATTTAGCAGTGCCACATATTGTCTAGGTCAGGGGTCCCCAACCTCCAGTTCGTGGACCAGTACCAGGCCGTGGCATGCCAGCAACCGGTCCACACAAAGCCCCATCCGCAAGATGCAGGCAGCACACAAAACCATGCACTCTCCAGTCCGTGGAAAAACCTCTCTCCACGGAACCAGTCCCTGGTGCCCAAAAGGTTGGGGTCTTCTGGTCTAGGTAGTTCTCTAAGTTGTTATTCCTTAACTTCATATTCTCTAGCTGTACATTGGAGTAATATTCTATCTAACATGTAGTGGACCAATTCTATACAATAATTTAAGATATACCTACTTCTTTCTTACTGTAGACTGATTGAAAAGTAGCATTAAATGACTGTTTCTGGTAACGCCAAACTGATGGGCATTGGAAACGTACTTCAGCTCTCCACTTTCTGCACACTTTTTCTGTAAACAGAACAACCGAGATAAATGAACCAATTCTCCATCCAGATTATTGAATCTTGATGACATACAAATTCCATGTTCAAATTATCAGAACCCAAGACAACACAAGCCTGATTTTCATCTGCTCAGGCAAGTGTGGTAGCTTTATATTTTTTTTTAAGGACAAAGGGACATTTTCACGTGTTTCCTGTGAGGTGAGGTGAACTCAGAGACAGACAGAGGGACTGGCCCTAAGTCACCCAGTCAGCTTTCATACCTAAGGCGGGACTAGAACTCATCGTCTCCTGGCATATAGCCTGGTGCCTTAGCCACTGCACCGAAATGGTTCTCCTGCTTCGTCCAATTCCAGTAATAAGCCATGCTAATTGGAAATCAGGAAGTTATGCTCCAATGTTTCTGCAGGACACTAGGTTAGAGAGCAGCACTGTGGTGCTTCCTCATTTGGATGATCAAAAGAACTGAATTTCTGAAATATGCTCATGTTTAACAGTAAAACTAGACCTACATTCTAGACCAGTGTTTCTCAACCTTGACAATTTTAAGGCATGTGGACTTCAACTCCCAGAATTCCACAGCCAGCATTGCTGGCTGTGGAATTCTGGGAGTTGAAGTCCACATGCCTTAAAATTGTCAAGGTTGAGAAACACTGGTCTAGACAATCTGCAGCAGAACCGAATACAGAATAGACAGCTTCAGTCATTTTTTTTACATCTATGATTACAATGGTACATAAATCATACATATCTAAATTTATATAAAGTGATACTTATTGATCCAGTACTACAGTTGCAAAAAGACATGCTAATATCCAGAAATCAGATATGACTAAATTCCCCCAAAATAAAATAAAATTGATTTTATTTATGTGTATATTTAATGAAAAGTAAATGAATTAATTCAATATAGTTAATAGGATTACTTTTTCATGTATTTAATAAATTGCCCTGTAAGACAGCAGGCTGCCCAGAAAATTCCCAGCACCTGTGCTGCTTTCTTCCCTTCTCTTTAGGCTCTCACCAGTAGCAGTACAGCCTATAAAAGATTTATTGTGAAACAATGAGGGGGAAGGGAAGAAGGAGGTATGTGTGTTTATTGGGCAGTAAAGCAGCCTAAAATAGCAGAAAGCAGCGGGAAAGAGATTCCCCCCCCCCAACAGTACTCACAAGAAACAGTGGGCAAGAATGAGTAGTGGAGAGTAATGAATAATAGCATGTGTTGTTGTTAATACTTTTGTGTCTTGAGCCCACCAAATTGGGCATAATTAAAAGAACCCATAACACAGTGGTGGCTTTATGATTTACCTGTGGCAAAGAGGTGAATTAAATTGAAATTGGAAAATAGAAAAAAGAATTTTTTCTTTCTCGGCTTAATTTTGTTTAATTATGATCATAACCACAGATATAACCATCATAACATACTTCCTTAGCCAGTGAAAAAGACTTTAGAGAACTTGGCAGCATCTGCATTTCAGATCGGATTTCAAAGTCTTCTGGTTGAATAGTAGGCTTAGATTTCTCTGAAAGAAAGCAACTGTCCATATCAACACCTTCATACTTTATTGCAGCGGTGAAATCCAGAAACCTGTAGGAAGGAAAGAAGAAACAAATCACAAGAAACATGAATTATTTTTCAGGCATAAGCTGAAAACTAAGAAAGCAAAAGTATTTATCCAGTGCCAACTACTTTTCTCACATATCTTTCATGTGAAATTCTAAAGAGTTATCCAGTCCAACACTGTGCAATTCCATGATTTCCATCTTATATATCTATGGATCTTGCTTGCTATCATGTTCCATATAGGTTACATCTTCTATTGTAGTCAATAGTTACAGGATAGTCTCAATGGCTGTAGACCAAAAATTATCCAGCTAAGCATGACATTCTTTCCTATCCCACTGAACAACTAATAAAATCAGATATATTTGGGGTGAAAATCAGTTCTACAGATAGACAAAGGAGAACAATTTAAAACCAAATCTGTCCATCAATAAAGCAAAAGACATGGAAATCAGGCCTTCTGCCTAGAGGAGAAGGACAGCCAGCCAGTTGCATTTTAGACAGGAAAAAAGAGAAACAAGAATTTCAACACTGTTTCACTATAAATAGACTTGCACTTGATACCCAGCAATATTTGGAATTCTTTAATAATGGGTTCTTGGCTTTTCTACATAAAACTCTACATCAGAGTATATGAATTCTTCCATGCCTGTTAAGTGGTTTTAGTTTAAGCTTCTCTGACATTTGGTAGAGAAGATATTCTGGTTAAAAACAAATATGCAGAACTATCATACCATGGTAGAAACAGTAAATGATGCCCTCCAATAAATAAAGGAATCCTTCTCTACCATAGAGACAGTATGGTAAACGCGAAGTAAAGGTTATTTTTTTTTAAAAAAAATGCATCTTTCTGCCCATTAGTTAATTAAATAACTTATATGAAATATATATTCTTCAGAACTAAAGAAGCTTCTTGGATGAGAAGGAAACATTTTCAAAGAAAAAAAAAACCCCAAGAAGATCCAATTGCCTTTTGGAAAAAACACTTTTGGGACAACCATGACCTGGATGATTGGGAATCTCCATAAACATATACAGGGGTAGGCAACCTTGGCTCTTTTATGACTCGTGGACTTCAACTCCCAGAATTCCTGAGTCAGCATGGCTGACTCAGGAATTCTGGGAGTTGAAGTCCACGAGTCATAAAAGAGCCAAGGTTGCCTACCCCAATATACAATGTAAGGTTAAAGAAGAACTTTCCCATGCATAGAAATTAATTTTAACTTACTCTGTGTTAAATATCACATTAGCTATACAACCAGAGAAAGAATCCATCATCATTAATCCTGAAATGCTTTCTCCAGCAGGAATTCCACCAATAAAGAGCTTTGATATATTAATTGGTCTGGTTTCTGCCATGAGTCCAAGTCTAATTTCTTCAGGTTTACTTTCATCCACTTGTACACTTATTATTCTGGGCACCAAGAAGCGGGGGACAGAACAGAGAGAAATAATACTTAGTAACATTTTTTTTCAAGAGAATAATTTCAAGGAAGAGAAAACAAATAAATTTTATAATCTACCCTGAATAACGTGAACATAAATTTGGTTCTCCAACATGTGTTGGAGGCTTGCTACCGTGAGACATCAGAACTTTCTAATGACTTTCTAATTCATTTCTCTCTCTTTTTTAATATATAAGGCCTGAAGGCTTCTTAGTTAATTACGTATTTCTATGTTCTACAAATATTTGATAAGATTCCAAATATCAAAGCATCTACAAATTATAAAAATTGTAATCAAAGCATCTACAAATTATACAAATTATAAAGGAAATAATCACACACATTTTAAACAGTAGCTGGACAGAGAATATAATTACCACAGGAAACTGAACTGCCCTGAACAACAGGTAACTGTGATTAGTTTTCTGAAATAATGTAAGTTAGTTCCTTAGACAACACAGTAACTAACATAAGTGGTAATTAAATTAATACTTCAGCTTGTACCTCTTATTCCGAGTAAGGATAACAGAATGTTCTTTTCCATCACTGTAAGTTCCATTAGTAGACTTGACCGTGACCCTTTTTGCATTTGCTCGGTCACCAGCAAGAACCTGCACAGCCAAGTGACCATTCACTAGCATGATGGAAAAAAAGGGCTACAAGGAATAGGAAAAAAAAAGTTCCGTTATTGTTAGGCATGTTAAAATGTAGAAAGAGAGTGGTGGGGAGGACGTCTTTTTTTCTTCCTCTGTCTGTCTTGGAATTTTATTTTATTATTTTACTTTTTGGAGAATGGACTTGATACAAAATTATACATGTAGAGCTCAATTTATGACAGCAATTGGAACTAGAATCCGCGCTAAGCAATGCGCTGATAAATGCAAACACATTGCTTAGCAACTGCAATCCCTGTAGTCCCAAGTTGCCGTTGTTATCCAAATGCCATTGTTGTCATTAGGCAAGGAAACGTCCTTCTGTTTCCCCACAACCAAAGTAGAGGACGCAAGGGGTGTGTGTGCAGGAAGTACAGCAAGGGTCAGGGAGGCTGCACAAGGTTGTAGATCAGGGAGGATGCACAAGGGTGCAGCATAGGTCAGGGAGGGTATGCAGGCAGCACAGGGAGGGCGTACAAAGATATTGTGGGGAATGGGAATGATGTTCAGTGGTGCACAAATGAGTGGTGCAGTATGATACAGAGAGACTCAGGGAGGATGCAAAGGTGGAGGAGACTTACACCAGCGATTTGTCACCTTCCCTGCTAGCTTCCCCACTATTTCCTGGAAGTTGGCAGGGAAGGTTGCAAATGGCAATCACATATTTGCAGGGTGCTGCAATCAGTCGGTAGAGAACGTTCTAACTTCAAAAGGTCACTGAACAAATGCTGTAAGGCAAGGACTACTTGCTTGCCGTAGTGGTGTTCGTTCTTCTACTTAATCCATTTTTTAACAGAAATGGGAACGTTCCCTTCACTGCTTCAAAATGTTCCAAAAATTTACATGTTTGCAATAGTGGCAAATATCTGTAGCTCAGGTGTAGGATGAGGGTGAAGGTTCATTCTCCGAGCTTGAGGGTTGAAGCTTCAGCCCTTATGTAAGTAGAACACTGACACAGACATCCAGTAAATACAGCTGAAGATGTTACCTAGCCTGGTAACGAAACATTCAGAAATCAACCCTCAAGCTCGGAGAAAGAACCTTCACCCTCAATTTATAGGTTTCTTGTGCTGATCAACCCAATTTTATTTGCAGAATTCAAGCAGAAACACTCATTTATGTAAGCATCCTTATTTCTATTATGCCACCCTAACCTTTAATCTAACAGCTGAAGATAAAAGGCTGTATTTCCTCTGAACTGAACTCAAGGTCTAGTGACTTCACAGGATTGTAATTTCTTGGCAATAATGTAGAACTGGTTTGCCACTGCCTTCTTCCAGGATAGTGTGTGATTTTTCCAATCTAGATAGCAGCCATGGCATTTTTGGTGGTCTTCAGCCCAAATATTATCTCAATCACACCCCGCTTCACTTTTAGAGATTAGTCAAGATCCATTCCAGAAATAACTAAAAGCAAAAAAATCAAATTAAAGGTGACTGGGTACTCACAAGATGGACTTGCCTGCGTCTTCGTTTTGCTTCACCTTTGCTAAGCCCCACAAGAATGATCCCACTGGAGTTCTTTGTAGCAAAAGTAGCCATAAGTTCAGATTCCACCAAAAGGGATTTGGGTGGCAACTCAATGTAACCATTATGTAAGATATTAGCACTGCGTATAGGCTTGATTGCGAAAGAAAAGGAACAATCAGTCAATACATCATTCTAAATCAAAAAAATAAAAATACAGCTTTTGATTGTTTAACATTCAACCTGCTAGTCATTATAAAGTCATCATGTATTGTTAATTCATTTCTCAGTAGCAAACAGCTTAAATCTAGTGAATAGAACTATTAGTATGTCTTACCTCTAGGATGCAGCCTTTTCTCACACCGTACGAATTTTTAAGCAAGTCAAAAGTAGATCGGGATATTTCCAAGTTCTTCATGCATCCCACAAAGGTTCTGCTATGAACCCCTTTCCTAATAAAGGAAAATACTGAGCTTTTAAAATTGAACAAAATACTAAATTCTTCATAAAAGTCAGGATGGAGTCACTGAGTAATTAATTTCTGACAAATCAACACTTTTCCAACAATACCCAGTGATTACATCAATTACAGAATATAACAATTCAGAAAAATACAAAGCACAATAGGCAGCTTTTCTTTCCATTTGATCTTGGCCTCCCTTGTGTTTTAAATTTCTATGATGAATTTTTAAGACCGATGACTAAAACTGTTTTAGTGACCATCACCTTTGCATTCAGGATCTTGAAAATAAAGCACTCTTTGTCAACTTAATATTCTGCATTTGTCTTTTCTACAATGCTCAGTTCATTTCTGTCTTCCATCTCAATTTTCAATATTCCAAAGACAATGAAATGCAGTCATACGGCCTATATTTTAGAGAAATGGCCAAAATGGCAGCACAAAGGAAAATAAGCCATTACAATGAACTAGAATCCCACCTACTCCCCCTTCTAACATTCCTTATTACTCCTGCTTATCTTTGGAAAAGGAATGATCTAATTGTACTTTTTGTTGTTATTGTTGGCATCTAAGAGAAGTCTCTTTAGGTATGAGGGAAGGGAAGCAAATGAACCACAAAATATGGCCCTCCCCCTCCTCCCCCTCCAATTTTCTCATGTTTCTAGGGAAGGTTTGAAGTGAGAGTTGCTGAATAAAGTCAGTATGTCAACCAATGAGGAACCTTGATCTATGTAATCAGGGTTGGCAGGTGCTCAGGCAATTACCATTGTTAAACTCTCTCTCTTTCCAATCTAATACAAAGAGACAGAAATGAAAGCTATCAGATGGCATGCATATCTCATTTCCCCTACATGCATTCTTTTCCCTCATGCCTTAAGAAATCTCTGATCAAAAGGAAAACAGTGAGTATATGCTCCATATTAAACATGAAAGCGAGGGGTTGTAAGCAAAAGTTTTTTTTAAAAAAACCCTCACATTATAGTAGATATTCTTTATTCAGAGCCTTAACTTAAAATCTGTGTTTGAAAGTACATATTTTCAAGAAAATCTGAAAGAAGGTACACTCCATGTCTCCAAAAGGAAATTGTGCTATAGACCACTATGGGGAAAAACCACAGATAATGGTTGATGTTAAGCTTATTTGTGGTAGGCAAGAAGTACCTTACCAAAAATCCAAGACTCTAAGACTGATTGTGTGAAAAAAAGATAGTAATACACATAATTTGGGCCTGAGCAATGTAATGGGCCTTACAGACTTTACTGAAATGGGCAAGAGAGTAATCAGTTACTAACAGAGCTACATCCACTATATTTAGGGCCAGATGCAATTTCCTGACTATCTTCAATAGGAATGCACTCAAAACTGAAAATATGTACCTGAAATATATATCTTAGAATTATGCCTAACTGTTTTGGATTGGCTCAGAACTCCAGATTTTAGTTAAATGACAACCTAGTGGAATTTTGGGGATGAATATTACAAGACTTTGGTCTTTCTATTCTCCTCAGCATGGTCCATTAATCTTCTCAAAGACTTGCTTTTCCTACCTCCACTTAATGCTGCCATAGATTTGATTGATTTCAAATACAGAAAAATAGAAAGAAGGTTGGCAGGGAGTGGGGAGGACTGGTTGGATATACTGCCCTTGGACTCAAGCCAAAAGCTTCTGTATCTATTATCTCGGATTTTTCCTGTACACTGCCCACCCGTGCATCAAACAGTGGAAATTGATCATCGCATTGCCTTCGAGAAGTCAGCTTTTCCATGCACACAGAACATTTTGTGCAACCTACTCTTAAGGACTTTCTTTGAACATAGTTAATAGTACCTTACTGTCCTTGATCTTGGTAACCCTCCAATGTAAATTGGGTCTTTATCAGAACGATTCAGGTCAGAGGCTACACCAGGGGATTCGCCTTGCTTGATTTCTTTAGAATTGAGGCTGTAAGCATCCATGACTGCCAAAATCCCTGAAAGATAAAAGAATATCTTGAGGTAAGCAAATAGGAACAGTTTGTCAGATTCAGGAATTTCTATTCAAACAAACATTGCAGAAAATGTAACAGTAACAATACATTGTTCTGTTAGTCATTAAGATCACCTAAGAATAAAAAAATTAAACCCTACTCTCATTTAGTAGAAATATGAAAAATATAACATACATGTTATTTCAGACAGTACTTTTACAACATAATTTCAATTTAAACAAAATAAAAAAGCAATCTACCCTTTGCTATTCAACAATTGAAAGTATTATACGTATAATATGTTGGCGCATTCACAATTTCTGGAGGCAGGTTGTTCCACTGATTAATTGTTCTAACTGTCAGGATATTTCTCCTTAGTTATAGGTTGCTTCTCTCTTTGGTTAGTTTCCATCTGTTGCTTCTTGTCCTGCCTTCAGGCACTTTAGAGAATAGCTTGACTCCCTCTTCTTTGGTTGGTTAATCAACCAAATCTTGAGGGTGGAATAATTTTGCTTTAGAAATGCTTTTTCAACCTCATCTCATTCATTGTTAAACTGATATAAAGATGTTTCATCTAATTAAGATAGTTCCCAAATATTAGAAGCTCATACAGAATCCATTAAGAGCGTCATCCTAGCTCACCTTTCTATGAATGTTCAATTGATTTTTTCAGTGTGCATCAAACTTGTATCACATACTGATATTACAGTATAAACCATCCAAATCAAACTTCCACCAAGAAGCAACAAAGAAAACCTGTTCATTTTAATTTTCAAAACTTTCTTGTATGTGTAGAAACCATTGTTTTGAAGTGAAAAATTAGATAAAGCAAGTCAGACCTGGTATGTGCTTCATAAGGCAGAAACTGCCACCTCTAATTCTTCCATTTCAGTGTAAAGATGGTACCACCTCTGATTTTTCAATCAAAGTAATAAAGGGATTGTGCCTAGTTTTCATAGTCCTATGGTTTCAATGTTATAATTAAAATCAATGTCAAGAACAAACACACTGAGTTATGTCTGGATAAAGCCAACATATTTTACCTTCCTTTTTGTTTCGGCTGAATGAAAGTTTATACCATGTTCCATTATTGTAGCGGTTTTCAGTTTTAAGTGTAAGGGGACCTGAACCAAGATCAACGGTTACTTTAATTCTGCCATCGACAAGCTCCAGAGATAAGAAATCCTTCTGCAGAAAAGGAAGCAAAAATTAGGGAAATATATCACACTTCTTATTGCTATAGCTATTCAACTATCCAATAAGTAAGAAAATCTTGGAAATTTCTATCAGTCATTTGAAAACTCAAAATGCTTCACATACATTATCTTGATACAAATTCTGTAAAATTAGTTCTATTCTGAAAATGAGGAGCTGAGACTTAGTGAAAGCTACCATCTCTCTATTAAAGTCACAACAGATTCAACAATGGTTTAACTAATCTATCATACAAAGCAATTTATGTAGTTTATTGTTGACTCTTCACTATAGGGATGTCCACATGGGGTCAACAACATCCAAATCACTGGACAATCAAATCCCACTCATTTTTATGAGAATGCTATTCATGTAACACACTGCAGAGACATTTCATTCTTGTAAGGCAATAGGCATGAAAACTGGCTGGGGAACTTTGGGCCAGTCACTCTCTCTTAGACCCACCCACCTCGCAGGGTTATTGTTATGGGGAAAATAAAGGGAAAGAGGAAGGAGTATTTTGTATGTTCATTGCCTTGAATGACTTATAAAGTAATAAAGGCAAGATAAAAATCTAATGAATAAATAAATAAATAGCTAATAGTTAGGCATAGTAGTGAATTTATTCATTTTTATTTAATTACTTATCAATAAATACCCCCAATACAGATTATGGAACTGAATATATCTTTTTTGATAAAATGGAATGATCTCCTTACTGTGCCATTGGAAGCCAGGTATACTAAGAGCCCATTAGTTGAAAAAGTGTTGAAAAATACAATTATCTGAGTCACAGTGGAGCGAAGTGCTTTCTCTACTACTGAATATCCACTGCCATCAAAATGAAATGAAGGATCTTCATACTGTGGGCTAGGGAAAACAAACAAAGAGAAGATTGAGACTGGCAGGCTATAACTAAGTCCTTAACAAGATGCAATCTGTCCACAGAATTCTGTACTACACTCCATAATGAAAATCCAATTTAGCAACAGTCAAAATAGACATCAACTGAGTCTATATGTAAAATTGCCAAACTGCTCTTTTAGCCTAGAAATAAAAGTAATGCAAAAGATCAGGACAAAATTAATTTGATGTAATTTAATGTAGATCTGTATTAAATTAATTAAAGACAGTTTAAAACTATATATGAGTAAAAGTTATTTTCATTTTGAAGATTAGTTTAAATATACACATGAAACTTTCCAATATATTCTTTTCCTTTTTTAGTAAAGAGAGCAATATATGAATTTCAAATATTATATCCACATCAATAAAATGGTCACATTTAAAAAGCAACATACTAATCCTTCTATGTTGTCTTCAGCAATTTAAAGGGGAATACTCCATTATCAATAGGCATAATTCTACAGTTTCTTAGGATTCTTCAGAACAGGTTTATAAAATAATCATCTATCTCCCTCTGCTGGTTAAAACATACTTATACAGCTATGAGCATTTTTTAAATTGGTTTTGATATAAAAATGATCATTAACAGAATTATCTTTGAATCATCTTTTAACTCAGAGGAAATCCAGAAGATAATTTTCAAGATACATCCTTACAACAATTTAAACAACAGGAAAACAACAAAATTAAATTCCGGTAGCACCCAAAATGGAACATGGTACAGGTATTTGTAAAAAAAAAAAAAAAATCACCCCAAAATTAAATGCACAATAATGCTTTTACAACCCATCTACAAGACAAGGTTTGCCTTCTGAACAGGTGAATTCCCTATCAAAGTAATGCCTTGACCCATATTTATTTCCTAGAGAGGTCAGAAGGAAAGTTGGAGAATCACACGGTATTCTTCACTTGTGGATAGTGGTAGATGACTCAAACAATTTTAAAGATCACTTATTTTTTAAGTTGCTATACAGCAAACAGGGAAGCCTAATTAGATTTATAAAACCCTCAAGCAATGCCATAGGCATACTTGTCAAAGCAAAATACATGTAGACCCCAAATTAAATTCCTTTATATATTGACTGAGATGACAATGCACAAACTAATTAAATAACATGAGTATCAGCAAGCTATTTTCAGTTCTCACCTTCCAAAGCATCCTGTGCACTTGCCTTCTCTTTCCATAAAATTCCAAAGTCCCACTGGCCTGCCATTCAAGAATGTCTCCCCGATGCACCCTTTAAAATGTGTTACTTTAATTGATGGTGATTTCTATAGAATACAGAACACATTTAGAGCAAATAAAACAAGCTTTGGCTATTTGAAATTTCTTCAGGCACACAGCTATATTCTTCCAAATGTGGCGTAGTGTAAGGGTAAAACAAAATCAGTTAATAGAACAATGTTTTATCTGAGCTCCACTGAGGAACTCTGCTGCATTTGAGTAGCATGACATAGTCTGCACTGCAATAATTAGTATTGATTAATATTATTAATCCCCATGTACATAATAACTTTCACCTCTCTCTAGTGGTATCCTCACAGGCTTGCTGATTTTGTCACTATTGCAGCACAGTGTTGCTAAGTTCGTTCCTTTGTATGTGTGTGCAACAACATCACATATGTCCAAAAGAGATGAACTTGAGTCTTGAAATTAGTGTCATGAATTTGCCCCTCCCCCTTTCCACAAAGATGCCGCTGTTTCTCACATTAAAATTATAGTCACTGGCACATTTTTAAAGAACAAGAACAAGCAACCACCACATAGATGTCTTTCTTTTCATTTCTGAATACTTGACAGCTCTTACGGATTACGAGGAGGGAATCATCTTCAATAGCCGCCAACTGAACTATCACAATATATTACAGTAAACGTTTCACCTTGATTTGTCCTCCAAGTCCACCAATGAACATTAGGGTTGACGGGTTTACATCTAGCACAGTGGCTGTTCCAGGGGAGGTTGCACTTCTTCTGATGGGCTTCTGAGGAGAACTAGTCTCCTCTACACTCAGAGTGCCAGTTTTCGCAAACCTAATTAGAAGAATAACGAAAGAACTAAAGTAGTTAAATCTGCCAACTGGTGTTACACATAGCAGTTCAAGAAAAAGATGCAAATATTTATATAGTTGACGGCAACTGTTCTGAATACCTTATCACTTAGATGTTGCTATTTACTGATTTGATTCATATTCCATCCTATATAATGGAACTCCAGGCAATGTACTTACTTCCTTATCCTCTTCCTTTATAGCAGGGGTAGTCAACCTTGGCTCTTTTATGACTCGTGGACTTCAACTCCCAGAATTCCTGAGCCAGCACAGCTGGCTCAGGAATTCTGGGAATTGAAGTCCACGAGTTATAAAAGAGCCAAGGTTGACTACCCCTGCTTTATAGCAACAACTCTGTTAATAGATTGGACTGAGAGAGAAAGAGAGAGGTAGCAACTGATCCAAGGTTGTTCAATAAGCTTCTGCGGCTGAGGGCTCCCTGGGACTAGTCCAACAGCTTAACCCACTACAAAGATTTAGGGTATTCATTAAATTCAGTTTATTTATGCAGACTGCCCCTTTTTTCTAAAAACAAAAAGTGCAGATCCTTTACCAAGGTACTGAAAACTCTTCTACGTTTGGGCTGTACAGTTTGCTTGAGTTATATGTATGATTGTGAACAGGCTGTAGTAAATATACAGGATGGTTGGGAAGGAAAAGAAAGGGGTAAATGAAGCTCAGCCTGAGCCAAGAAAATGATGGTTTACAAAAATACCTCCAACAGCCAGCCCTCTCCCTCTTAATTCCAAGAAGATAAAAGAGGGAGGAATGGAACCATATTCAGACTTGCAAGGTTCTGTTACTGTAGCTGTTCTAATACAAGTAGCTTTAGGTTTGCACAATGAATGCTTCTTAGTCTGGTCTACCTCATGAAACTGACACAGCCTTGACATAATGGTGATATTTTTCAGCTAACAAAGTATCTGGGAGTCAAATTGCATTAAGCTACATAAGTTTCAAAGGCCATTTGAGTAAGCTTTTGTGGTTGAGGGTGGACTACAACATCAGTTTCCCTGCTTCTAGTGTAACATCTCAATGAAGGCTCCTGGGCTGAGAGGGGAACTGACCCAATGAGCTTCCTTATCTGAGGATGATTAGAGTCTGGGTCTCCTCACTCCTAGTCCAACACTACTGTAACTACTGTACTACACAGCTCTCAAAATATCCATGTCTGTATCAGGTTCTGTGATTATATGTGACTTACCAGCATTCTTTTATGCCCCCCATGTCAATATGCTATTACATTTGGGGGAATGAATTTAAAATTTTTAAAAGACAAAATGATTACTTTATATTTTACAAAGGCTTAAGGCATCAATTTCAACATTTAAAATCGTTGAATGTGCTGCAAAATTTGGTATTAACTAGCCGTTGAAATCATAAAACCAATAGTATCTATATCTCTGTGGTTTGTAATTGTTTATCTCTTACATCCATCTTATGATAAATACCTTTATTAAATAAATTAAATTATTATTTTAAGAATGTTAAAAGCTGTTTATTCCCAACACAGCTTACCTTTTCTAGATATCTGATGTTCTATATAGACAGTATCACATCCATAGTATTTTACACATCCATACCTGGTAGCATGTATTCTATGCCATTTGTTGTTGTTAATAGATAAATCAGGATATTCCAGTCTTGTTGACCCAGAACCCAAATCCCACAAGAAGGCCACCTTGCCACGTCGCATCTCCACTGCCATGAAATCAGTCTAAGAAAAAGTTTGTGAATATTAAAGGACCAACATGTTTAACAGCGTTCTAAAGTTTTTAAAAATCTTTTAAATTTTTTTTTAATTGTTATGATTCCATAAGAGAAACTATAATCATATTCATATATCACAATCATTTTAATATTTACTCCACCTTTCTGGTCCTACGAAGAAAGTTTATTATTTGACATTGGCCATTTCAATTACAGCAACTTAAATATGAGATATATTCAGTGGTGGGATTCAAATATGTGAACAACCAGTTCTCTGTGTGGATGCCGCTTCTGGAAGTCCATTCTGGGCCTGGGCAACAAAAAATTAGCTACCGGTTCTGCCAAAGTGGGGTGAACCGGCTGAATCCCACCACTGGATAGATTACAAATGAAACTAGCCAACCACAAAAAACACCTTGGAAAGCCCAGACAAAAAAAATATTATAAAGTAATATTAATGCAGATCAGACTCATATCTGAGAAGTCAGCAGTATACACAAGATGTGCTAAACTTTTCCAACTCAATTTTAAAAACTTAAAATAATGTGAGGGACTGTTAGACATTTTGCTTCTAAATGAACCATTCAAGGAAACAAAAACATTTTGAAGATGTAAAGACCACATAAAATTATATAGGCTTAATTAACCACAGAATCAGTTAAATGAACATACTGTACATCTAATTCTACTATAAAGTACAAGTCGTGTAGTTAAAGAACAAATTAGCATTGCATAAATATAAACTAATATAAGAACCTATTGAAATTAGCAGTATCAATTGAGATACAACTGATTACAATTAACTGACTGGGAGCAATTGTGCTGGTAAAAAATGTAAAAAGAAAAGAAAAAATGCTAGTATTGTGTTTTTTGTTTTGAAATCCAAGTAATTTATTATTGAGTTTCTTTTTTCCTATTGGGCAGCTATCTACTGCCACCTATAAAGGTTAAAGAAAATAAGGTTTCATTGCCTTATACAGAGATTTCTACTGACCATTATAGTTTACTTCATTTAAAAGCAACAAATATATTTAGATGTATCAAATTACGGTTTGTATAATATCTTGTCATTTGGCCATGCTTCTGGCCTCATGAGATTAGTCCAGAACATCTGAAAGATATTTTTGTTTTATCCACACATCTCAAGTTAAGCTGCAGATGTGAATGCAATATTCCCTAGCAATATTGGTTATGTCATAAGTAATCTGTGTGTACTTGTGGGCACAGAGAAATTACTGCATCAAGCAAAAAATTCCCTCTTTAATTGACTGGTTTTCATCTTCCTTGCAAAATCCTGCCCTGCCAAGTTTATGCTTTCAAGTTAAATTTTAGCATTATTAACAGTTTAGCCTTCTAATGGCTTAGAGAATATATAAATGACGTATCTATGATCCTGATTGTTTATCTTAGCAGTAACACAGACATATCACTATAAAGACAAAATATATCAGTGTATGCATACCAAGCTTTTGTATTGTTAAAGTAACAACAGAAGGAAAGGATATCTAAATATCCACAATGTGTCAACTGATAGGAAAATCGACTTATTTCATATCCAGTTTTAAGAATCTATTTTCTCACATTAACATTTGAATATTCAGGATACTAAATTTAAGAGAATATTTATTACTGATCCACTAAAGTCTGTAACACATAAAATAGGCAAGAGATTGTACCCTTGTATTCATAATAACCCAAAATATTTTGCAACATTTCATTATCTCAGATACTAACAAATACTAAAGTTGCCACTGTATTCATAAACATGTATGAAGAAACCTTTTATAACCAATGTACTGACCACTGAAATGCAGCTTATTTGTTGTATGGGTGTCAGATAAATATAATTCAGTAGAAACCCAATGGAAATTTGTACTGATAGCTGGTAGAGTACCCAGCCTAAAGAAGAATTGAGATATAAAATCCTTTACTTACTTTACCATTGCTACCCAGATAGAACAAAAGATTGTCAGGTTCCATTGTTTTAACATTTAATGTTAATGTATTGTAGTTAGTAGATAATATCTGGGGTTGATAGGCCCGAATGCAGTCTTTTTCCACAGATACTGCAATTTTAATCTGAAAAAAGGAAAAACAAAAAACTTTATATAATGCAGGTACAATTTATACCCATACACATACATGTAGAGACACATAGTGATTATCATAGAAATATTATCTACATTAATGAATAAAATACTTGACATAATCAATATGCTGACTCTGTAAACTGCCTAGAGAGTAGTAGTATATAAGTCTAAATGCTATTGCTAATCACATGAAGGAGTCAGTGAGATGGGCAACATATAAATTTATTAAATAAAAAAATAAATTAAATCAAAACCAATGGGACGGAGCATTTATCTTTATGTCTTTATATTCCACCAAAATCATGAATGGTATTTCTTTGTGCCGCTGATGGGGGCTGCTCTGTACATCCTACAATGCAAAACACATTGAGGAAAAGGGAAACAGTAGATAGTGGAAAACAATACATGTTTTTTTCAGAACCTTGGTTAGTTGTACTTGATTAAGAGCTTATGTCCCCTAAGATGTAGGAATTAGAAGGTTGAAGCAAAAGCCATATGCACAGGATGGCTTCTGAGAAAAGACTGGAACAGATGGATTAGGTTACCCCGAAGGTCATACTTGCAGAAGGGAACCAGCACTGTGAAGAACAGAGTGATGAGGGGTCCTTGGTGGCCTCTGAACTTGGTTGTTTTCTTGTAGACATTTCATTACCCAAATCAGGTAATATTATCAGTGCTACTCATCATCTAGCACTGATGATGTCACCTAGTTTGGGTAATGAAATGTCTGCAAGAAAACAACCAAGCTCAAAGAGCACCAAAGATCTCTCATTTCTACCCTGAGCTACAAATACTCTTCTTTATTAGAAAGAAATGAAGAATGTCCTGGGATGAAAATAGAGACGTGCAGGAAGGCCATAGAGAGTTTTGACAATAGAACGAGTAGTTTGTACTAATTAGTAGTCTCATACATTGCGTGGACCTGTTCTCTTTGAAACTGCATTTTTGAAACTGTAAGAACTAGGCTGCCATGGAAGATTTACGTTACTGAAAGAAAAATACAAGTCCTTGTGGACACAAATAAGGAAATAAGGAGGAAAATGTTTGTATTACAGCTTTTATCATTTAAAATTTAATATAGTGACAGTAGATACAACTATTTAGGGCATGTACTTTACATTAGAGTACATATGTACTTTGTCAGTTACAGTTTATTACAGTGATGCAACTATTTAGGATATATCCTAGAACAAAATAGCAGTTTCTTTTCTGGAATACATAAAAATGGTTAGCTGCTTACAGAAGCTGCCTGTTTGCGAGCCTGGTTTATGAGCTCTTTAATTTCAGAGATGTTTCTGCTTAAATTCTCCTCCAGTATTTTGAGAGGTTTCAGCCTTCCATATAATAGACCAGCCTGGATTTCAACTTCATTCACTTTTTTTTCAGCTGATGCTGCTGCCAAAACAGAAGTGAAGATATCCTGAAAAAGAGTTTTGGGGCAATTCTGCTAACTATTTGTGTTTTAAGCTGCAAATGAATAATGAATACACACACATACACACACACAATTATGTAATTAAGTACATTTAATTTTTTACTGGTTTTTCATTCAGCCTTGCTAGTCTGAAAATGCCAACTTTCAATCGAAAAAGATAGCAAACCTCATCAAAGTTCTCACCATATCAGCAAAGTATACTAGTCCAAACTGCTTTCAAATGTGAATAGGATAAAGAATGCATTGGATTAAAAATTAATCCCACTCTTGCATGCAGTAACATTTCTAGTAAGCAATCAAGCAGCAAACTTACCAGCATTTGTTGAATCAATTATAAGTTCATTTGTTTTCTGCAACGTCTCATTAACTTTAGACAATGCAGATGAAGAATTCAACAGCTTCTCACTAAAACCGACAGTATGACTTATACCATTAAGGGCAGTCAAATTAGCAGAAAGAGCCAGCCTTTTTATTGCCAAAATATTTTCATTAGTATCTGAAACAAATGATCAACATAAATTTGATTATCTATCATCCTACTTGCAAATCTTTGAAACTCAGTTACTATCAGTCTCAGGAACAAAATAAACCTAGTACAGAAAATTTGTGATCAGATTCTCATATTTATGTTAATTTCCTAAACTTAAAGTGTACCCTATTCTAATAAATGCAGTACTACCTTATGTCTGGAACTGAACAAGTAATCACAACATAAAAACCCTCTGGATGCAGTGTCACAACATCTAAGCATATGCCTGCCCACTTCCTTTAATGCAGGGGTCTTCAAACTCAGCCCTTTTATGACTCATGGATTTCAACTCCCAGAATTCCTCAGCCAGTGTGCTTGGTTGAAGTCCATGAGTCATAAAAGGGCCGAGTTTGAAGACCCCTGCTTTAGTCACTGATCGCCTATTGTATGGAGGGACTATTAAGGTTCATATAAATTGAAATAAAGGCTTTCCACATGATTGTTCCTTATCTCATAAACTGGTCAGCTTACATTTAAATGAACACAAGAATAATCAGTCCCTGCTATATAACTATCAAGGTCTGAAATTAGGAAGCTTGTGAGTCTGTAAGCAGTTCATTTGCCTTTGTACTTTGGGCATAATGCTTGAGTAGAGACATAAAACAATTCTAATGTATCAACAACCATTCTAATGTGGTACCCATCAAATTAACAGTTTAAATTTAGGGTTCTCTTTAATCCATACTTTATGGTGTCCTAAATTTGTTTAATCCATATTTCACAGTGTGCCATCAAAACCAGAGTTTTGAGGTATCTTATGGTGGAAAACTAAAGCTGTACATATAAAAGTTATTCGTATAAAAATATGATTTTTTTTCATTGTAGTTTTTATTTTAGCTCCAGTATATTAGCGAGACAATGTCTATTACAAAGATTATTACAAAGAAGAAGTAAAAGGAGTACTATCATGGAAAAGGAAATGAATAAATTGTAACATTTAATCTGATTGTTAATAAAAAAACTGCTTGCTACAACTGGTTATTACTTATACATGCAGTGCTAAATTATGGTTTATTGGCAGTGGAAAAGATCAATAAAATACCATTCAAATCTGCAATCCTATTTCATCTTGGCCAGGTTTCAGAGCTTTAATGGGCAGAAATCCAGCCAATGAATCCTTGCTCAGCATGATGCACAAATTATTTCCTATTCATTTTTTCTTTTTTTGTTTTAAAGGAATGAGAACATGCTGAAAACAGCAACCATATATTGTCCTCTTACACATATACTTTATAAATAAATAAATAAATAAATAAATAAATAAATACATACATACATACACACACACACACACACACACACACACATCTGAGATAAAAAGATTAGATTTTCCGGTGGTAATGGTTAAATAGATCTGCCTTCTAGAATGAAGGACAATGTTATCAAGATGAACTTCCCTTACCTCCGGGCAATGCAGTCAGCTGAAGTAGGGAATCATTAAACCTTTTAGCAATTCCACTGGCTTTTGCTTTAAGTCTTTCCACTTTTATGTTAATTTCATTTAACCCTGACCTGAGTCCTACAGAAGAAAATAGTTGTAAATCTAAAGCAGTAGATTACTTTTTGAAAGAAAATAAAAGCAGTGAATTGTACCTTATATAATCTTATACTGTATGCTAAAAAGACACCTATTCAGCAGATGCACTATATATAGCTTAAACTATCAAGCAAAGCCAAATGTTGCCAGGGATCACACATTAAAAAATGCACTAAAACATAATTGCAGCCTGGGCCAAATAGGTGGTTGTTTTATTGCTTTCAGGAGGATAATTTGTAATTGGACCAGGTTTATAGGTTCTTTATTACAAAATTCCTCATGTTAATATATACAGCAACCAATATTACATCCTACAAAGATCTCAGGTGGAGTAAACACCTTAATTTTATTAGCACAACAGTCCTGTGATAATAAAAAGTTTAACATCCTCAAGTAAATGTCATTACAGAGCAGAAATTAATATGTCAACCTATATGTAATGAAACTTACCATCATACTTCTTGTGGAGATGTTTTGCATCAGTTAAGACTGTGGAGCTAAGCTGATGGACATTTTTCCCAGTGTTGTTCAAGGGCCCTCTTTGCTTAAACACAAAAAGAAAACATTATTTATGGGAAAAAGCAATATTAAACTTACAGGATTCTGGCATAAGATAATTTTGGGGGAACCCTTATATGTTATGTGACTATAATGTAAAAAACTCATTTCTATGGTTTTGTATCATGTTTAGCTTAAGCTTCCAATCTCAGTCCTATGATTAAACACATCAGATTTATTAATATGAGATATGAGACAGAACACCATAAAAAACATCTTCACATACATAACAAGCAACTATATTAGAAATAGGGTGTTGTGAAGATCATGCATGCTTCCAAAAAATGTTTTCCTAAAATGACCTTGTACAGATGTAGTCGACTTTCATCAACACATCCCATAGTTGCTGTTGTGGCTTGGACTTGTTCCCAGAGATCATGGGGTTGCACCAGATGCTTACATAGTGCATAATTATTTGGATTTCTGAGAACTTTGACCTCAAGAAGAGGAATCTTATCCCTTAACTCATGTACACAATAAGAAAAAAAGGATCATGCCAAGGGTTAACCAGGTGGTACATCACAAAGATCTAAAGATTAGGTCTGGCTAAAATTGAAAATAATTAAGCTTTCCAACTCTTTTCAATGGATTGAATTTCTTAAAAGGAAAAAAATTGTACCAGAATGGAGATACTTATCATCCCTTGCTTTCATTCTGTTTTCAGAAGATCAGAAAAGTATTTTTGTAGATTCCAATATAGAGCTTTCAACAAAGAAAAATATGATTGCTGAACAAGCTTTTGAACAAGTCAGAAGCTACTTCCATTGTATGCAGTGGTGCTTATTTTTTGTAAAGCTTACATAATTTCATAATTATAAAGAAAACCTGGACATTGTGGTTAGCCATTAGAATATTCCAAAGCTTTTCATTTATTTGAGAAAAGAAATAAATTCATGTGTAGGATTTTTAAAAATCTATTATTGTAGGGTACAAGCTATACATAATCAAGACGTAGCTGCTTTAAAGAGTTGCATTAGAGACACAGGTATTTTAATAGGGCAACTCCATGCATTTTTTTCAGGTTTACTTAGAAGTCTAAAATAAATGTACTTCCTTTAAAGAGATGATGAGTTGCACTCCCAGATGTTCCAAAATATCTCTACCATATAAGTTTTGAATGATGAGTATCTATATTGAAGAATGTATACATGTATTAATATTACACAGAGTTTTTATATACTTACCACATGTTCATATATAATCTTAGTGACATCACTTGCCAGGTTCTCTGCACTCTCAACTACATTTCTGATGGTAGAGTACACATTGACAGAATTTGTCACATTCACAGTCACATTTCTAACATTCAAAAGGCCACTGCAATAGAAGATGAAAATTATATCTTTGCATAGAATTTAAACGTATTAAAATATTTATCAGATTTTACTAGGACCTATGACCTATTTTAAGCCTTATAGTTGGATCAGTTTATTTATTTATTTTATTTTATGTATTAAATTGCTACAATGGCCATCTCATCTAAATGACTCAGTGGTTTACAACAACATGCACTTGAAAAAAAATAACATTACATTGTTTTAAAACACAGAATAAAAGTTGCAGATTGAACAACACATTGCCTTTCATCCCTAATGCAGTCATCAATTCCAGTCTTCTGTTACAATTGAAAGTTTATTTTCCTCAATAATTATATTCTAGATCAGGGGTAAGCAACCTTGGCTCTTTTATGACTCATGGACTTCAACTCCCAGAATTCCTGAGCCAGCATGGCTCAGCTTGGAAACCTCTCCCTTTCCCCTCAGCATGGCTGGCTCAGGAATTCTGGGAGTTGAAGTCCACGAGTCATAAAAGAGCTAAGGTTGCCTACCCCTGTTCTAGATGAAACAGCTTATGCATTTCAGTTTCAGTAATACTTGGCCTATCTACATGTAGCAATTAAGTATGTTACAACTTAGTACAAAAGAAACATTTAAACTCAGAAGAGCTGCTGGAACGAACTACCCCCCGAGATCCGGACGATTCCGGATCTCTTAACCTTCCGCCGCGCCCTCAAGACATGGCTTTTTCAACAAGCGGGCCTGACCTAAGGTGAGTTTTAAATAGGGACAATTTTTAAACAATTTTAAAGAGCCACAGCTACTAATATTTGGATTTTAATTGGTTTTTAGCAGGGGAAAAANGTTTGAATTCCACACTCTAGACTGGAAGTTTTATATTTCCTATGTACAGTTTGTGTCTTATAAGCTCTGAGGCAGAAAGCCATTTCCAGTAGACAGACATTTTAGACGCTACAAACTGTCTGCTATTTAAGTAAAGCATAAGCTATTGATGACACTCTTACCTCTCTAACGCATGAACAATTTTTTCTAACTCAGAAGCATGATCTTCTGTCTTATAGACAAGTTCAAGAGCTCCTCGAGTAGACAGCTGCATAACCAGGTCATCCACATGTTGTCTTAATTTAGTACTCCATAAGATCAGTTCATCCTCGTGGATTTCTAGATCCTAAACATTCAAAATCAGTTAATATCATATAACGGCTAATTAACTAAATTAGTCATAAATTAAGGTTATGAGTGTTCAGTGACTTACAGACGTAGAATTAAATATATCTCTCGCAAAGGCAGCAGCAGCAGTTTTTTTGATTTTTCCTTCTTTTATCAGCGTAACAGAGAGCTCCCCATCTTCTTTAACATTCAGCTTTTTATTCTGAATACAATATTGGGTATAATTAACACTTTATATCAGCTATTACAGAGTAAGTATATCTTACATAAAATCCCTTCATGTGTAAAGGGATACAAATGTTAAGTGTAATATACTTTGCCTAATGCTAATATTAAACCTAATTTTTTCTTTAAAGATTATTTTAAACACTCAGACAAATCTACTATAAAATCACATGAAACATGCTGTGAGTCTTCTTACATTGAACTCATTGAGGTTGTTATTAATAAGAACAAACAGACGCCTAGCCTCCTCAGTGTTACTATTTGCTATGTTCACAACATCTTGGGCTTCTTGACGTTTGCTGCTATGTTCAGATAAGGCACGTTTTGCTGCTTTTTGAAAATCCTTAATTTCTTGCTGTGGTCTCCAATATTCTCTCTGGATTCGTGTCAGCAATTTTTCTGCACCTCTAATAAATATAGAAGACATACACAAAGTGATATAAATCCTCTTGAAACTAAAAGTCACTCAAGAGGAAGTTGAGATCTGTCTCATATAGCTAATGAGAAATTTGGCTTCGTTGTTTACTTATATTGTTTGTAGTCAACTATCATTGCATAAAATCATTAACCAAGGATTACAGGCTAGTGCTTATGATATAACATGCAAAGTTGCATCTAATCTTGGCTTGTTTGGAGGGAGTAAAGTATGAGCTGTGTTTGAATATCACAATATGTGATTCCCAAAATAGTTAAAGGAAAGGCGATAAAGAAATATCTCCTATTTAGTGACAAGACTATGAGCACTAATATTCTATGCATTCCAAAGGTGCTTTTTCAAAGGCAAATGGACTTTGTTTATTCATTGAAGACGTTTAGCTTATTATGATTGGGAATTATCCATAGATATTCTGTGCATTCATATCCCAGATCATTAAACTTATCTGTTTGGCATAAAGTGGTGAATTTTAACGTTTATTCTTGCCATGATCTCAAGAGCAGAAAAATCAATGCAAAAGTATCAGAAGTATTGATGGAAATCAAGAGACTTTTCTTGATGGCATCTTCTTGGCTATAAATTTGAGAATGTTTCTGATTTATTTCAAATACATTTTAAATATATATTTTATAAATTAAATCAGGTTTCATTATTTTCCTTTTTTTACAAATTCCCATTTTGATATTTTGTCTAAACTCATACAAAATTACATTCAAACACAGTTTTGGATTTTATCACAAGCAAAATCTTGTCTGTGGTTTTCAGTTAAATATCTTTGATATATATATCCGAATAATTGTTCTGTCCCCCGTCCGACCCACACCCCCCAACCAGTCAGCCGAGGCCTGAAAAACTACTCGGCA